GGTAATACCCCAAATTCACTCAAATTCCTCAACTTTTATTACATATAGTTACATTTCGTATGTCATTACTCCTGGGGTAATACCCAAAATTCACTCAAATTGCTCAACTTTTATAACATGTGTTTAGAAGAAAATGCGGGTACCGGGTGTAACGGGATTATGACATCACTCTCCTAAATGACTTTCAGCTATTTGAAGTTTATCAGCTACATCATTTATTTGACCGGTTATATAATCAGCATTTGTTAATAATGTTGATGTGATTCAAGTGGATAATATTGTTTACAATGAACACCAAAATCTTCAATTTTATTTAATGGTACTGGTTGATATTCAATAACGTCAGTTTCAGCTTTACATCCTTTTGGGTATGTACGAATTGCACCGATATTAACTTTACCGGTAGATATTATTCAAGTTGGATCAACCTACATGATATTCCTTTTCTTTTTGTTTTTATGAATAAAAATTAATTTTTCATACCACAATAGTAACAAATGAATCTTGATATTACTGATTTTGCATTTGTGTATCAACATCAATACCTGATAACCAACAACCATAACCTGGATGAGAATGATACTATCCAATAACATTTTTCCGACGATTGACTTCTTTAGCCCATAATGTATATGAACTCATATATTCATATGGTTCTTGTTGAGCATTTACACGAGTTTCTATTAGTCGATATTGTATAATTAATATTTCGAAATGAAATTTTTACCTGTTCCTTCAACTGGTAAAGCAAATGAATCTATAACAATCATATTTTTACTATTAATTTTTCCTAATAACATGCCCATTACTTCAAGTGTACCATCTGAACGTGCATCCATAACTAATTTTAACAAAAACAAAGCAGAGATTTTTCATCGTTTAAAATAATTTGGAGTAAAAATAACATTTTTGCTTAATAAATACGGAAACTTTAATTTTACTTTTGTAACCATGACCGATTTTGTAAAATCCCGTGTTGAACAGCAGCTTCATATGCATAGCTTTCATCAGCTGCTGTTATTTCTTGAATATGATTTGCTTTTTCAAATTGAGTTAAATTTTCTTTGGCAGTGCCTGCTATGTGGAAATAGAGAAAACATTCTAAGATTATTTTAAAGAAAAAGAGATAAGAAAATCAAATATGAAAATTACAATAACTATTGGAATTTTACAACACTATGGTATGATTCCTTATTGTCAAAGTAGAAGTGCAATAAGCATGCTCTGGCTTTATGTCACCAATAATATCATAAAATCAATATGTCACATACTCACAAGAGAAGTTTCGGACGCATCATGATATAATCGAAATGAAGGATCTTTATCATTTGTAATTTAATAAAGCATCTTAAACACAAAATGTAGTTTGCAAAATTATTCAAATAAATGACATAAACACAATGGTCAGCAGAATGTAGATTCATACTCTGTCACATCGCTAACTGAAATGAGATGATGTTTTTGAAAAGTCTAATCATTTTAAGAAAAAAATTCTGATAAAAGATTCTGTAGAACTTCTACAAATATACCGTCTAGTTTTCAAAAGTGCTTTTTGGTAAAGCCTCTTAATACTTCAACAATTTGATTGTTTTGAAGCGAAATACACAACTATCTCCTTGACTTTGATGTTAAGTTGAAAGGTAACCTTTTGTTTGATCAACTAATCAATATTGATATTTTATTTTGGATTATTTGCAGAAAAGACAATTATTTGTATTAGGTAAATGCAGTTGATAACAACGGCACTGATAGTCTTACCAATTGATTGAACAGATGGATAGGTTATCAATCGATTAGAAACGAAAAAATTATTTGTCACTAATCAGATTAAAGTAAATTGATCAATTAATTCATCATTTATAATACAATAACGAGCTGAAAAGAGTTTGATAGAAATGATGAATCATATTCGATTTGTTTACTATTTTCTTTTCGTTCAAATATTTTTCCTTTGTAATATGGAGATCAAATCAAAGCGAATTACTTATTCCATGTTTTTACGTATTCCATGTTTATGTCTGTTCATTGTCGTCATTCTCAATGAGCATTATCGTTGTTTCTGAACATGGAGCGAACAAAAAGACAACAAGACGAGACAAGCCAGCATTATTACGAATAAAACAAACAAAAATTAAAAAATGAAAGTAAGACTTTATATTTAGATTTGATAAATTCTATTTTCTTTAATTAATTTAAACAAGTCAGTTATCTACACTCTATTTTATCATCAAATCCTTATCTTTTATTTGATTTAGATCTTGTTTAGAAGATTTAGCAAATCAAGTATTTTATGAAATATTTGAATATATGGATATTTATCATATTTATGAAGGATTTTTCAATCTTAATACACCATTTAAAAATTCACTTATGCATTCAAATGTTCCAATTCAAATAAATATTTCAACAGTGTCACAATCAAATTTTGAATGGTATTATAAAAATATAATTGTTCTCAATATACATCGAATAAATATTCTTCGATTATCAAATCCATTTACTGCGTTGATATTGTTTTTTTCACAACCATGGCTCATTTCAACATTTCTTCAACTTGAAACCCCATGTCACAGAAATCGGATCAGCTTTAGCGGTAAACCGGAAAAAAGTAGTGGTTAGCCGTCGGTTTTTATCACATGGGACATTAATTCTCGATAATATCAATGCACAATATTTTAATAATAGTTTTTATCATTTAATTATTTTACCACAATAACATTCATTAACTATTAATACTACTGATTATATTCAAAATTCAACTCTGGTTTTATGTTCGTATATTTCGTTTTCCTAAATTGAAATATTGTAAAATTAAATTCGAATCAAAAGATGATGTACAATTATTACTTAAATCTACTGATAAATTTAGTCCAATTGAATGTCTTGTTATTAATAACCGTTTTCGTTTCCCATCATTTAATAATTTATTATCGTATCTACATCAACTGCGACATTTCTCAATTAATTATCTCAATGGATTTGATTTAAAAGATATGGAATTCTATTCTCTCGCATTAAAAAAATTAAAATATATTTCACTTGAACTTGATTTAGCTTCTTTCAGTCAGCTGAAAACATTAATAAACAATTTCTTTTATTATGTCGAAGTTTTACGTTTTACAACATAAGCTGATTCAACATATTTAGATGCAAAAAAATAAGAACAATTATTAGTATCCGATATGCCAAATTTACGTATATTTGATATAAGTCATGAAGGTTCTTAACAAATTAATCAAGTAACATATCATGATTTAATTAATCAATCTAATTAGTCATTTTATATTGAAAAAAAATGGTTTTTTACACATCAACATTATTGGCAAGAAACTATTCAAAGTGGAATATTTTATTCAACAAATCCATATCGGTAAAAATAGATTGATTCGATTTTATATTAGTTCTCTTCTTTTTTTCTAGAAGAAAAGACTATATATTTTATTAGGAATTAGATGAACAACTTTGCTTACATCTTCAAGAAAATAATTTAAATTCGGTTAAACATCTTCATATTTGTAGTAATACAGCATCAGATACTTGTATAAATCATTTTCCAAATGTTACTGTATTAACGATTACACACAAATTCTTTTTAAACATCTGATGATCCAATATCAACAACTCTTAACCGAATTGTTTCATTAAAACAAATTACTAAATTAGTTATTGAACTTTACGATTTTCATTTCGAAGAATTAATTGATTTATTACATTTTACACCAAATTTATATACATTAAAATATGATTTAATATGTTTTCGTCAAAATACGGCAACATCAATTCAAAAAAATGAAGAATTTTATCATATATTAGATGTAAAAAATGTCAAACGTCTAGATATCCGTGAAACATATACATTGGAAGAAATTAAAATGCTAGTAAATTCATTTCCTCCATTACAATATTTTCAAACGAGAATGAATAAAAAAGAAATTAAACAAATTATACCATTTTCATTGTCAAAAACTAATATTAAAACAAGTCAATTGTTGTTTTTAACGTATTAAAGAAATACCTAAAATATATGTTTACGAGAATTAGATATGTTAATTAAATTTGAAAATTTACGTAAAGATTATTTTATTGAATTTGTTAATTCTCATATATATTTATGGTGGTAGTAATTTAACTGTTTATGCTATATATTTTATATTATTGTATATGGATACTAATTTTTTCTTTTGAATAAATAAGAAAATGAATTGCTAATCTAACTATCCCATGTATAAAAAAATAATACTAAGATGACTTCAGAAACTTTAGCCAACGAGTTATTCATTGATTTGAATATTTGCATGCTATTTATCTTATTTGTGCTTCTTCTGGACTCAATTCTCGTTTTGACAACTTGCTTTTCATACATTTTCGATCCTATGATCTCGATTTTTGATTTGACAGCAAATCTTATTTTGACATTATTTGTCAAAAATATCTTCCAAGAATCATTGATCGAATTATTTCATTGCATCTTACGAATAATGGCAAAATACCGAATATATCTAAATTTTTTCTTTCTCGTCGTTTCACTCTTGACCGTTTGAGAACATTTTTTCTCAGAAAAACGAAAACCTACCGAGTTAATCAGCATATATAATTAATAATTGTTGTTCGGTATGATTCGGTTGCAAAAATATTGTTAATGTATTTTTGTTATTCATTTTATTAAGCTAATCCAAACAAAAGTAAAGTTACAACAAAGGAAAATAAGCATAGAAATCTTCTGAATGTGCAATTTTTTGAGGACCTATACTTAATTGTTTCAATTGTATACAATTCAGTCGTATTCTATCGTTTGTAAAGTTTCTCGTGACGTTTCTTAAATCATTGTAATTTACTGATAATACGGTTAGATGAGGTAGATGTGTTTTTCTATCATTAAGAAATCGGTTGACATAATCACCATGAACCAATAAAAGATAAAGCGAAGTAAGATAAGGATATTCAATAGTTGTTGGGTATAATTGATTATCATTATAATTTAATATTGGTGACTGTGACGTAGCATTATAAACAGTTAATACTTTAAGTAAAGGAAAACACCAAGCAATTCTCATGAAAAATTCATGTTCGAATGGAATGTTGTCATCCACCACCAATCTTATAACATGATTGAAAATAATATTTGGAAATGTATTATCAAGAAACTGGAGACCATCAAACATGAATGGTAATGAAAATAAATGATATTTCACATCAGGAAAACGTCGATACTTGATCATACACTCCACTTGTTGATCTATAATGTTAGCAAAAGTTTAGAATATCATCTTTAGATAAATGATGAACGAAATGATCCAATCGAGAAAAAATTAAAAAACAAAAGTTGAATATATGAAGTCGTGGCATATGAGCAATAATTTCATTATAAATGTTTTTACCATCAATAAAAGAAACTGGGCTATCAATAATAAGATTTAAGTTTAATACTTCAATATTTGACATACGACGTAAAAGAGGTAAAATTTCACCATCATATGCATCATTTGAACAATCATATTGTAAAGAAAAACATTTCAAATGAGATAGATTCTAGAAAATATAAATCAATATTGAAATGTATCATTATCGATTAAAATAAGAAAGTTTCCACGAAATAAATGATTGAAAACTAGCTCTAATAGTATTTTATTTATTTTAAAATTTTTTCAATTTTATAATATATATATATTCTACAATGGTGACTAAAATACTTATATTGTATTTTTAAATATCAAGCAGATAAGAAATAATAAATACTGAGACAACTCAAAAAATTTACGTCAATATTATTCATTATAGTTATATATATGAAGAAAATATAATTTATATATAGGAAACAAATGGTATCATCCGATAAACATGACTATTTCCATTAGTTAAATCATGAAAATTTTCATCGAGTAACTCATCAAAAAAGATTAATGTAATGAAGTCTAAACTTACCATATTGTAGACATACGTTGGATTATATTCCTGTTTAATAATAACAACATTCAATGTATTTAATTGTTTGAGACGGACATCAAGTAAGAGCAAGAAGATCATGATAATACATTACATGAATACATAATTTGTAAAGAGTTGAAGAGTAACAAGTAGTTAAAGATAAATCACAAAGTACTAAAGGTGGAAAAAACTTCGGTTATGATCGAATAATAGATAAATGATTTAGATTTTCGAAGAATTTCAAAATATATCCATAAACATATGTCATATAATGTGTCCATGATAGTTCATTAAAATTATTTTCAAATACAAGGATAAGATCTGTAATTTGTCGTTGAAGAATACATCAAAATGGTGATTCAACTAAATAAAAAATAGATATTACCTAGTCTATCGAAGTCTTTATTCAGATCAGTATATAAGTTATTTACCTGTAAAATAATGTGAAGCAACTTTAACATTAACATTGAAGATTTTCAGTTCACTTAAATTAGGATAATCACTAGCAAGAATACGTTCCCTAGATAATGAATTAAGAATAAGAGATTTAACATTATAATGAATTCTTGGCAATATATTCATGAAGAATCGATCAATAATTGGATCAGAAATTGATAAAATATCATCAGTTAATGTTGTAAATACAAAATTGAGAGTATTAGTGAAAGTATTTTCTTGTGTTATGTTGACAAGTCGTTGATTATTGACATCAAACAATGAATAAAGAACGTCCATGTTATCAAGGTTTTTAAAATGATAAGTAGAATTTCAGAAGGAAGATCAAGATTAATGTTACACTGATTCATATTGATTTTGACTAATACTTCTCTCATGATGCATATATATATATGTCAGCGTCCATACTCGGATTCCGTCCATACTCGGATTCCGTGTAATCTCAGATTCGCCTGAAAATTGAGCGTCCAATCTCAGATTGGCCTAGGCGAATCTCAAATTGACCTAAGCGAATCTCAGATTGGCCTGATGAATTTACGTCCAGTCAGAGATTGGAAGGAATCCGAGTTTGGACGCCAACATATATATGCGTTCATTGTTGATTTGTGTTCGTCGATGACATTCAATGAAATGAATGGATGACTTCAGTGACAAAAAAATAATGTCAATGAAGAATAGACTAATTAGTTCATAAATGAACATTTATTCTGCTATTTTTCCTTTATCTTCTATATTATTTTCTTCGATAGTCATTGTTCTTATATATATGATATCGATGAACTCACGTCCAGAAAGAACGAAAAGAGCTACAAAGCATTGGTTCTTGCCGTTAACTGATATTTCTGAAAGAGAACTGTTAGAAGAACATCATGAATATTAACTTTACCTATCAGCTCTTGTTTAATTTTCATAAAGGTTCATTTACATTATAAGTATAATTATTTTAACATCTGATCTTTATTCGCTGCAAGTTTTAAACGTTGAGCATAAAATTTTTGAAAATATCCTAAAACTGAGAATATCGAGAATTGTTAAAAAAGAAGTTCATGAGCATTAGATGTGATGCTGAGATATTGTTCATGAAATGCAATTAATTCTAACAACTCGTTTTCGATAATGAAACTAAACAAGGTTAATCTATCGCTTTCTTGCTGTAGTTATGATGAAGTGATCTGTTTTTTATTCATCCATCATTTAAACATATAGCATAAAGAATATTTCCTTTTCAAAATCATATATGACATATGGGGGGTATTTTTGGTTTGAAATACATTTAGAAGTATTTTATTCGATGATGAATTCATATTAATTGTATCTGTTAATGTTTCATCATAAAGTTTTGTAATCATAAAACAATTCCATAATGATATTGTTGAATCAATACTACATATTAATAGTAAAGTACCTGTTAATGGACTAAATTCAATTGAAGAAATAGCTTGTTTATGTAAAAAATAAATGTGTTATTTGACGATTATTTTGTATATTTCATAAAATAATTTCACCATTCCAACAATCAGATGCAAGAAAATGTCCATTTGGTAAAAACGAATTGAACTTATTTGATGACGATGATCATGAAAAATTCTTACAAGTGAATTTTGATTATGAATATTCCATAAATGAATTGTATCATCATTATGTGCTGATGCTAAATAATTTGAATTTGGATGAAATTCAACGAGATCAATTGGACCACTACGACCGTATTCAGGCTAAATTCGAAATGGACTTGTTTTATCAATTGTTCATAAACAAATAAGACCATCGATACTACATGATGCAAATATATGACCAATTGAAGCAAATGTTACTAGAATAAAAAAAATGATTAGAAAGTTGTTTTCTTTTTTCAAATCAAATTTACCATAGAGCATACGTTGAAAATGCATTTTATATACAACAAGACATGATCAAGTAGATGAATGCCATAAACGTATTGTACAATCCTGTGAACCAAATAATAAATATGTTTGTTTCTTTGGTTTAAATGCTAATGCAAATATATCAGCTGTATATACAATAAGTTAAGGTTTCGTTTGGTATTTGTAAACATGATGTAGTAACAAGAATATTCTCTTGAGTATTATTTATATTCGAATGTGAAAGTAGATAACGAAGATCTTTTGCTTATTTCATTGAATACAATTTATTATTAGAATTTAATGAACATATCAAAATTTCTGATGATTGAAAACCAATAGCTAATAGACGACACTCATTTGATAGAGTTATACAATTAATTATTTGTTTTGTAGTTTTTAATGTAAATAAACATATTGATGGCAATTGATGTAGACCAAGACGAGGTATATTATTTGAATCGATATTATGAGGAAAACGATTATAATTAATTTGTGGATGTAATGGTTGTAGATCTCGTCGATTAGATTGAGCAAATAAAAACTAAAAATATTATTGAATATTTATTATCAAATAAAGAATAAGAAAAATCAGAAGTAGCTATTTATTTTGGATAAATAAAAAATAAGAAAATAATCATCAAAACCTTTTGGCACCAGTGATAGAGCCTGTCCAGTCCAACATTTTTTGGGCCTGGACGCAATACCAAATCGTATTCTTGATACTGAATGAAGTTTTTAATTCGTACCTGATAGGCACTGCGGAACGGTGACCGATCAATTCGTCGGGATCATTTCGTCGCATATAAACGAGAACATACATGAATTGAATTAAGTGATTTAGTTTAGTATTTTATTTAATTAATCACGTAAATGTATGCTCTACTATGGAGTTATTAGGTCTAAATGCTGGATAGATGACACACTTCGAAGGAACAAATAGTTTAGTTCTAAAAATATTGCTTACAAAATCCTTCAGTTAAAGTGCAAATAGTCTGCTACTAAATGAGACTCAAGTTCTTTCAGGAGATGACTTCTGAAGAAATCTTCAGCTAAGAAAAACCAAGAAGAAATGAAGGCAAAATTCGCTGTTACTTGGAGTGTATGCCTGATTCAGTATTTTTTGCGACTATTTTCTGTAATTTGCAAAGCTGCTCGGTCAGCAGATGAAGTGGCTTCGAAAATTTTCAATATGGTTTTCAGATTTTCGGTGCTGAGAACATTAAATAAAAATAATCGTCTTAAATCTTATAACACTAGTGTTCTTAGGATATCATTATTTAGAGGTAACACATTTAAATCTAAAAAAAATATTAAATCAAGAAATAAATTTTTGAAAATTTAAATTAAGTTTTTTGAATTTAAAGTGGGAAAATTTTAGGAAAAGATGATTCAAATTGATTTTGACTTTATTGAAGGTGTTACAAGTCAAGCTTTTTTTAATGTTTTCTAGACATAAAAATAGTCCTTCCTCTACGAATTGTGCTAATAAATTTGGGTGTTTGAGCATCTTTATTATATGGAAGATTGAAGTTCAGAAATCATGTATTATCTATTCAGAAATTTTCATATCTATGAGCACATTCTTAGCTTAATTACCAGATTTTCCTCTTACTTCTTATGTATTACTGCTTAAGTCTTGTATTTTCCAAATATCGATGACTAAATCAGATTAAAACAATTTATTGGATTGAAAAAAAAATTTTTTTAATTTAAATTTAATTAAAATTTAACTCTTTCGCGTTCAAAAATTTTAATTTTTCAAAATTTTAAATCTCTCTAAATTGAAATTTAATTTAAATTAAGGTTAAACAAATTGTAAATTGACACTCCTACCATTATTTGCGGAAAAAAGTATTATCAACAAAGAGTCAGTAGACTGTAATGGAAAATACTTTAGAGGATGATTAATTAAATAACATACTAAACTAAATCACTTGATTCAATTAATGTATGTTCTCGTTTATATGCGACGAATTGTACTAGTGGCGGCTTTATTTAAGAAATAACTTATTTCAAATAAGAACATCTTGACTGAATATGCTCAGTTCTGAACACTATTTAATATATTCCAATATTAGCACATCGTGGATAGTATTTTTTTTTTGTATTGTATTATTAACATATACGTGAGCACTTAATAATTTTGGGGTGGATGTGATTTGGTATGGGATCTCAATGTTTGTCCAACTATTGTTTTAAGTGAGGACATATAGCTTAGGGTATGGATGTGCAGATTGACGTTGGTAGGATTTGGCGTGTATTAATGGTCATCAGATGTCGGTACAAGTGTGAGTTTAAGTGATGATGTGTGTGAAACTAAAGTGTATCGTCTGCGCCGGGTAAGAGTACTTGTGATTGTTGCTATGCATGGATATGCTTATATAATCGACCAAAATTTACATTCAAACCCACATTGATGTTTGTGGTAGTTTTTATGGAAGAAGTATCAAGGCGAATAGAGTTATGCTTCATTATTTATTTTAATCATATCGAAATTATACATCTGATACATAAAATGCTTCCCATGCCATACATTTACTTGAAGTACTATCGGTATACAGTGGTACTTGAAGACATCGCCATTATATCGATGGTGCACCGACGGTTTTCTTGAGTACCGTAGTAAACCATCTGTCAAGAAAGTGTCAAAATATACAGGATGTTTCATTAGTTTTGAGACTCGATAAAATTAGTTTATTTGCACATAGAGAACGATCCCTAATCGAATGTATTTTATATGAGCTTTGAGTCTTCGTGACGATCTTTCAAATGACATACAACTCAATGACATTTTCTCTTCTGGTAATAAAAATACAAACATGTGAATATAATAATAAATTTTTCGAAATCGACCAACATTAAAAGGTGTTCTATGATAACCGATAACAAGTTATTAAGTGACATTTTTTCATAATTTTCCTTGACGTTGAAGGCTGAAATTTCAAAAAAATTGAGCACCGAAATTGCTGTATTTCGCCGGTGGCTATAGTGTCAGAGGGCTCAAACTTTCAAATACAAAGGATCTTGATTAGATATATGTGTGATAAAAATTTCAGCCTTCTATATCAAGTACAAGTATGAAAAATGTCATCAATAATTGATCATCAACTATTATGGGACACCTTTTTATTGTTGATTGATTTTAAAAAATTTATTATTATATTCACATGTTTGTATTTTTATTACTAGAAGAGAAGATATCATTGAATTGTATGTCATTTGAAAGGCTGTCACGAAGACTCAAAGCTCATATAAAATACATTCAGTTAGAGATTGTTCTCTGTGCGTAGATAAACTAATTTTATCGAGACTCAAAACGAACGAAACACCCTGTATAAATATTCATCTAAATAAATGACTATTTTTTTCTTTTATGTAGACCAATTTTTAGTCGAAGAATAAATGTCAATTCTTATACACAGCAAGTTAGTTTCTGGAGTCTTGTTAAGAAGAAGTTCTCTTAATTTTTATATTAATATATTATAAGCTAATTTTGAGTGAAATCTAACTGATTCTGAGAAAAGTATGAATAATAGTTAGATTTCATCGAAAAACAACTTACAATATATAAATATATACAAAATAAGAAGATTTCTTATTAACAAAACTCACTGTACAAATCTGTTGTCTATAATAGTTTCGATTTATTCTTAGATTCAAAAGACAATGGATCAGTAGGTTCGTGTCCTGATCCTAGTAGTAAAACATGAAATTACCATCGATTTATTGCAAGCATGGTGCCAGTTTTTGCTACTACCTGAAAATAACGCCGTTTTTTCTCTGGTTCGAATTACATGGGTTGTTCTTATATATAGCGCTAGTAGAAGAAAGAACAGGAAGAAGAGAAAAAACTTAGAGTAGAAGAACAGGTATTCCGGAAAGGTGTTTATCAAAGAGTAAACATATATCGATGTCATCACAGTGAATAATGAAGATAGCTCACGATACATGGTCATGAAAGAGAGAAAGACAAAGCATATAGTCATAAGAGATGACAAGAACAGTTTAAAAACCATGTGTGAATAATCAATCCGAAAAAAGTGAGAGAGCAGATAATTACACACAATAAAGTCAGCTGCTCACATCCACATACAGACATAAACATGTTTATGTTTTTTATATTTCGTTTACTGTTTAAGGTACTTGTATTTTCGAACTTTCTTCGTTTGTTTCGGTCCTCATAGAACATAGATTGTTATAGGTGACTTAATAGAAAAAATTGAAATTTCTTGATTTTAATGATTACTCAATCAATGCAACAAAAGATAATTTGGATTTTATCATTCATTTTTGTCAATTATTTTATTGTTTTATGCCGTATTTCAATAAAATCGAAATTATTTGTTGATCTTTTTGAAAAAAAGTTTGGCTTGAAACATCGGTTTTTATTAGAAAACCATCAGTCATTCAAAAAAACAATTAGTGGATTCAAATTTGACAACATTGATTGGTATTCATGTACGCCGTTCAGACTTTGTTTCTGTGCATTTTTCTTCGTCAGATCAATATTTATTCACGGCTATGGAATATTACACATCACACTATTCAAATGTTCATTTCATAGTCGCCAGTGATGATAAATCTTATTGTAAAAAGTTGTTCCGTGATCGACCGAATATCTCCATTACACCACAAACATTTTTCATGGGTGATGACCTAGTAACACTTCCACTCTGTGAACATTCAATCATTACTGGTGACACATTTGGATGGTGGTCAGGTTATCTTGTTAATGGTCAAGTTCTCCACGATAAAGTATATCCATCTGGATGTGAAAAACGCGAACACTACTATTCATCATGGTATCTCATAGACGGAAAAGTACGAGCACACAAAAACAGCAACTATACTCTCTAATAAAAAAAATGCAAAAGAAAAGAACAGTGAAGTTGTTATAGTGGCCAATAAGGTGAAAAAATTTGACTTTTGAGGTTTGAATCCAAATCATAAATAACATTAAAGATACTATGTTTCTTCGTTTAACTGTAGCTTGAACTCTGAATGAAGTTGAGTATCCGTGTTACAAAAGCTTACGAGGAAACATATTTGAGTGTCGCTCCCCCCCCCCCCCCCTCCCCCTGAGAAGGAGTTCAATAGTATTCTATGGATTACGGACCATGGTCTATATCTCAAATATCAACATCTTCGCTGCCATCGTTTAGGTCTTGAAAAAGTAGAGTATCAAACTTTTTCATTTTTAGATCCTTTCTTAATAGTAGATGCATCATGTCCTTTTTCGCTTTTGTTAAACTTGCAAGAACAAGCAGTTTTCTTTGGAAGAAAGCGACTTGAAATAAACATAAGTCGATATGGAGAAGCCATCTCGTTATCACTATAGTGAAGATATCACATCGATCGCTCCGACTTAGCTATCTATGTCTACTGTATTTCTGTAGTATCGTAAACGATAAGTAATCAATCAGATGAGCATTTGATTGAGAAGCGTAGATGTGACATCTTCACTCGTGATAACGAGATGGCTTCTCCATATCGACTTATGTTTATTTCAAGTCGCTTTCTTCCAAAGAAAACTGCTTGTTCTTGCAAATTTAACAAAAGCGAAAAAAGACATGATGCATCTACTATTAAGAAAGGGTCTAAAAATGAAAAAGTTTGATACTCTACTTTTTCGAGACCTAAACGATGGCAGTGAAGATGTTGATATTCGAGATATAGACCATGGTCCCTAACACATAGAATACTTTTGAACTCCTTCTCAGGGAGGACACGCAAATACGTACCCTCGTGAGAAGAAAAATGAAAAACACAGTTCAAGGTGTTTATAGATGGTTGAATCATTTAAATCACTTTTTTGCCAACTTGAATTATTTTCTCAAGACAATGATTCTAAAGAGATCACGACTCATGAAAACTTAAAGCACATTGTCAATAGAGGTCAGGCAAGAAGAAACAAATTCATAAAAGCGTTCAGTGGGAAATTCAGAGTTTTTATCATAGAGAATAATCATGATCGTTAAATGTATTTTGAAGCTCATTAGAGTTAGTATCAGATCATCTTTAAGCCTTGTCTGCTATGAAAAAGATGAGAAAAATGTTTTGGAAGAGGAAAAACGAATATTGCCTCCAGCGCCCCCAGCGTAAACCCATTACTAAACGCGTGATTTTTCATTTCAATCTTTCCATAATGAATTTACATTTTTATATGCTTGCCTAAAACAAGTTACTATGTATGTGATTGGTCAAAAATATTGTATAATCCGGAATATGCGGATTCGGTTTTTCATATATAGAGAAACGATACAATAGAGAAAACATACCGGTAGTTACGCTTCAATCGTTACTGTTTAGTCAAAACAAGGTTTATTTTTTGTTTACGAAGTGCTTTACAAATGTGATTATTTTTTTGTTGTATTGCTCTTAAGCTTGTTTTTCTCTTTGAACCATATTAATCACTAATATATAATATTCTGATTTTTTTTTATTACATCAATTACACATTTTACTCTATGTCGCCTCTTTTTTTTAGCAAGGGTAATGCAGTTACGACGTAATTGTGTCACAATTCAATCGTCATCGAAAATATGAGTGTGTTTACATTAATCTTAAGAGACAAGTTCGTTGAAGGGCATCCCCTCCGTTCCAAAATTTCTCAAGAACGGTTCAACCAAAAATGATGAAACTTTCAAGGTAGATCGACATCGACTAGTAGAGTAAAAGTTGTCATAGATTCATAATTTTCAGATGCTTCCTTCTATGATGTATAGAGAGCGTAGAGGCCAAAAATGATTTGAAGCTTTTCCTCTCACAAACAACTAAAATTCGTTTTTTATTGTTGAATTTTTTGTAGTAGCTGGGACCGAATCTGGGTGTATATATATTTTTTTCTTTCACAAATATTGCTTCTTGCGCTTAGAATAACTGAAATCCCTATCAAAAACGTCTTTATTCTCCTAGGGCAAACTTTTTAACATATGCCAAAAATCACCAGAACATTATTTTAAGAAAAGAAAGAATATATACCCTCCGATTTGGTCATGGTTGTCACAAAAAATTTCAGCTCAATCGGTCAAAGCGTTTGAGAAAAATGAAATTGAATAAAGTAATTTTTTCGGGTGAAGAAAGGCGATGTACCCTTAAAAGCATTGAATTGGTTAAAAAACGAGAAAAAAAGACTCATTGTGGAACGTAATCATATCCATCAGAAAAATCTTTGCAAAAATATGTTTTCTGAGTTGACCTCTCCTCGTTAACACGCGTGTCTTTAAGAGTCTTATCTGACTGGCTGCATGCTGAATATTGTTGCTTGCTGCATGTGAAGATATAATAATGCTTTTGTAGAGAACACACACGTGTGCATGCAATACAGTTTTACAACAGTTAGAAAAACAAAATATATATATAGTAACCATACATGAACACGTAGTATTTTATTTCCACAGATAAGATTCGATCATATAGACTTTACTTGATAAGACGAACTTTTTCACCCTTCGATCACCTACTTAGATTAGAATTGCAATCAAAACTGAAGAACATAATAATCATTAGATCACTGCTAAGCATCTGTGTGCACGAATGCTATTAACTATAGACCAGTTCAAAAAGTAGAGCAAGGTCTTTGACCTATTATAATATGATTATATGAAAGTGATTTTATTTTAATAAAGGATAAATAAATACCCTCCTCAGAAAAAAAGCTAACTTCCTGTTTACACACTATAAAATAGAAGATATTTGCATGTGTTTGCAACATACATACCTTTGCACAACAATTGCAAATATTTGAACAACTTATATCTTCTTGCATAAAAGATGACGACTTGAAAGCTATTTTGTAAAAAAACGCAAATTTCTGAATGTCCTGCAAATATATGGTTTTTTAAAAGGGTTGTCGCGTTTGACTAGGCTACACATAATAATAACAATAGATTCTTTTCTTTTTATCATGTTTTCAAAAAAAAATCAATATTGAATTTTCGAACAAATTCTCGCCTCCACTCGAAGTATTCATTGTTATCCTTGTAAAATCATTATTCTTAGGATACCTGTTAGTGAATTTAATGTAATAAAAAGTAATTCTTTTTCTTTTCTTCAAGAAACAAACACTTTTTTTCTTTGTACAGTCACTAATTTTAGAAGATCAAAATTTCATGATTTTCAGGAAATGCCTCAATCATGTTCGATCGAGAAATGTACCCGTATATCACGGTGGCTGTGTGACTGTTGCCAACAAAATCTTTGTTTACAACATTTAAATGAACATAATGCTGCGCTTATTTCTCAACTCAATCCTTTGAATGAAAAGCTTAATTCAATTGAAGATTGTCTTGATACACTAATTATTCAAAATATAATTGGTAATAGTCGTGAAAAACTTGAACAATGGCGTCAAGATTGTTATAAGAGGATCGATCATTTTTTTGAACAAAAATGTCAAGAACTTGATCAACTTATTAATGAAACAATTGGTCAACAACGAGAGGAACTTCATCAAATACAATTGAAGATAACTGAACTGATTAATGCACAAGAAACAACTCGTGAAGATATCGATTTATTGACATCAGCGATTGATGAAATTGAAAAAAATATGAACAATATTGAAGAAACATGTTTGATGATTAATACTCATCCATTACTCATAGATGATAACCTTGTTTTTATAGAGAAAACAACTAAACATGAACTTGACTTATCAACTCTTTCACCTGTCTACAGAAAAATTCGTTATTCTAATGGAAGTTATATAATACTAACTGGCAACGATCGATACTTATTAATACATCAATATCCAGATTTATGTTTGTTTGATCAAGAACTGGACATAGTTAAACAAACGTTATGGTCAAATGGTGAGATTCGAGATAGTTGCTGGTCATCAACGTTAGATCGATTCATTGTGTTTGGACAAAATAACATCTTTCTCATTGACGAAAATACAATGTCCATTGATTACATACAGACAGTTGAAGAACGATACTGGATATCGTGTACATGTTCTGATACAGTTCTCTTTGCATGCACAAACGAGCGTGCTTCATCTATTATGAAATTCGCATTATTACCAGCAGTCGAATTGACTACAGAATGGAAATGCCCTCGAATATGTAGCAATGATGAAATGATTGATGATATTATTCACAATAATGGAAATCTTGCTCTAACGGTGAAGAATATCTTCGAGAAATCAGTGCGCATTGAATTGATAGATGCAAAAACCTTCGATCGCATCTGGACATGTCCACTTGATATTAGGTACGACCAAAAGATACCATTTCGTTTTTGTTCACTCACTTTTAATCAATGGCTCATTGTCGATCATGAAACTGGAAGTCTAATCCATATTACAAAAGACGGAACAATAAAGAAAACAATTCAATATGACTCGAAGCCCTATGATGCTGTTCTGGTTGACTTGAATATACTAGCTATATCCACTATGGATGGTGTATATCTGCATATATTTCAATCAAATGAATGACTGCTTTTGTTTCATGTTTTGCTTTACTTTTTCTATGAAGAATTCAAAATAAGAAAAAAATTAACCATATTTTAGTGAAATACTATTTAAGATTGATATAAGAATCAAGCTGAGTTACATAATCTTAATCATATTTTATCAAAGAACACGAAAAAAAAGACACAAAATATTTGACAAAGAAATTTTCTTCTAATTAAGATGAATTCATTTGTTGTTCAAGTAATAAACGAGCCATTTGAACAAATGTTAGTGCTGCCATAGATGCTGATTCATCTTATTCACCATTCACCGGTGGCTAAAACAAAAATTTAACAATCTTGATAATATCTATGTATTCATAAACTTTTACCATAGGAATAGGATCTATATACAATAAAAAAAATGACAAACAGGGATACAAGTGGAAAATTTTCTTTGTGCTTAAACATGATTTCTTAAAACATATTTGTCCTAATGATAAATCCCACATGACACAATCTTTATCAAGACTACCAGAATATAAAATCTGTTCATCTGTACTTGATCGAAGTGATTTAACAGTACCTCTAAATCGACAAAATTCTCGTTATAAATCATGTTCAAATATAATCTTGATGTTCAATCAATTGTTATTGTTGGTTTTTTATGTTAAAATTCTCCAAACTAAAATTTCGTTCAACAATAATAAAATATTTTTTCTTCTGCTTGTTAATGTTCGTAATGGAACAATAAAAATTGTACCAGTATCTGTACCACAATAGATTGTTATAGAAAATGATGATGCACATATTGAACGAATTTCATTTGGAAATAAAAATGTATTACTTTAGAAAAGACAACAAAGATTATTAAAACCTACTCGAACACTAAGATCACTTGACGCAGTTAAAAGTAAATGAAATTTACCATTTAATATTTGACAAAGATCATGAATAAGATCTGTATGATCTTGAAATGATTTCGATCAGGACTTATTCTTTAACAAAAAAAAAACCAAAAAACCTTTTTTTTTTACCAAACAAACGTTATTTTTTACTTTTCAATACTCCATCGATGAATAAATGATTTATTATTCGCATATGTGCTGAAAGTGTTATTAAATGTTGACCATTATCAAGCTAGATAACCAATTGAAATGATACGCTATTTTTTTTTTTATTATTTCAATTTACGAAGAAATATTTTGTTACCTGTTGAACAAGCTAAGGCAGTGGAATCACGAATAAATGTCATTGAGCTAGCAGATGTACTAACTGTTACCTTTTTATAGTTTCGATTTTAGAAGTAGATGTGAATAAACCGTATTGATTATAAATTCGTTAGAATCGTATTCAATTGTTTAAGTTCGAAACGTAAATTGAAAGACGATCAATAGCAGTCGCATAGATATGGTCGTTAGAATATATGAGTGTATGACATGCAACAAATGCATTACATTTCAACGAAAAAGAACATTAACATAAAATTATGTAAGAATGGTGTTCAATGCATGGGCAGCTCAGTCGAATTGATGAGTGTACGATATGCATACATCAACCATAACGATATCATTAATTCGATAATCATTCATGAATAGTGAGATATATTCAGTTCAATGTTGCATTTCCTTACAGTCCTTCTCGGAAGCTACAATATTGTACTCTTTTAAACTTTTTGAAACATGCAACACATGAACAGAATTACCACTCATCTCCTTTTTTCTTTTCTTATTTTTATCTGCTTTTAAAAGTTTTATTATTTTCAATAATTTGTATCGATATTCTTCAAGTGTGTCAACTCATTTGTTCGGAAATGTCAGAGAAGATCCTTATTAACTTCTGTTAATGATGTTTTCTTCTTATTATTATCTTTTAAGAAGAACATGTGTTTGATATGGATTACGATAAGTACTACTCCGATTTTCTTTTTTTTGCTTTTTACTCTCTTCTTTATTTGCATTGCTTTCTTTGATTTTAGAATTATAGTTTACAAAGCATTTTATTTCATTGATATGATTCAATAACAGTTTACATATATCTTTTTCATGAGTTAAGCAGTTTTATTAAATTAATTTTGAAAAGGCTGCAAATGAGTATAACAATAATTAGAGATATTTCTAATGACTAGATATCAACTTTTGATCTTGAACTGTGCAATAATATTTTCGTTTCAACAAAAGAGTTTTGAAATTATTGCGAACTTTTGAACTGTCAAAATAAATGTTATATAAGATGAATTTGTACTTGATAAGAACGATCAATTTGGAAAAACATTAGCCGAAATCTCCAAAAATCATATATGACCTGAATTCTTTGTGTATTATTTGTTCGAATTGTATTAGACCATAGGTACTTAGCAGGACATACTAATTCAAAAAGTATTTTTTTATTGTTTCAAAACGGTCAATTAGTAAGAGCAGTCAAATTATATAGTCTCTTTTAGAAATATTGGTGTAGTGTCATAAAAAACAAGAGTAAATTTTGACTTCTAATACACGATTAGAAAGAACAGTTTTTAAAATACAAAAATCATCATAAAATATAGTTTTTCATTTCACTTCTGTATAAAAATAATTAACGGAAACTTAAAAATGACGTCGTACAATGATGAAGTTGAAAGAACTTTTCAAGAGGTGTTTGACTTTTGGCGTTTTCTTCTTCGATTCATTTTAAAAAAATGTGTCTGCAACAAACTTTGTAGTTCAGATCTTATTCTTTTCAATAGAAAAAAAATATAGGAAAGTGATATAATAGAGAAAAAAAACTAATTACGCTTCAATAGTTCCTCTTTAGTCAAAGCAAGTGTTTTTTTTGTTTATACAATGCTTCACAAAGGTAGTTACCTTTTCGTTGTATAATTGTTAAGTTTGCTTTTCTCTTTTAACGATATTAAACATTAGTATATAATATTCTAGATTTTTTTATTACTTTTTTTTCATATGATCTTCCACAGCTTTCGTCACTCGTTCATGTCTAACAAAAAATCAAGAACATCAATGATTCTATAGAAACTCCACCATCAAATACGTCAACTATACGTTCTGTCTAGGTCGTCTTTGTTTAGTCACTGCGAAACAGTTACGACCTAATCAAGTCACAGGTACCGATGATAGTGTAATCGTTTATACAGCCTAATTGTGTTACAAAGCAATCGTCATCGAAAACATGAGTGCGTTTGAGGTAATGTGAAAAGATGAAGTTCATGTAAGAGTCTTTTTCTGTTTTTCAAATTTTTTAAGAGCAGCTCGACCAATCTCCTAGGGAAAAATTTTGTAAGATATGCCAAAAATCACTAGAACTTTATTTTAAGAAAAGAAAAAATATATGCAGCCCGATTTGATTCTAGTTGTTACACAAAAACTTTCAGCTAAATTGGTCAAAGTGTCTCGGAGAGAAAAAGAGAAACTCTGATTTTTCTCTAAAAAAAAATTGATTTGGAGAAAAACACGAAACAATATAAAGCGATAGTTTCTTCATATTTCAATTTTTACATTTTGTATGCATTGCTATCAATTACTACACTTCCAAAGCCTCTAACTCACACAACATACTTGGATGATAAAATAACTATATTAATATAGGCCATTTACAACACTATAGAGCTATAGAACTTGTTTTTGTATGGAGGATCTCTAAAGTCGCATTTTTTAAGGATCTGAAAAAATATGAAAACTTTTCATTCATATGTCATTCGATAGAGAACACTTCAATATCTTTTCAGATATAAAAAAATCGAAATCGAAAAAAAAATGAATGTTTGGCGTCGAGAAAGGACGGCATGTCCTGAATTGCGTTTAATTGCTTAAAGAAAAATAGAAAAAAAAAGTAATTGTTAAAGATAATCATATATATACATGCATGAAATTTTCCGCATGTACACGAGTATACTGTTGTTGAAAATTCATATATGTGCATGCAAAAGAGTTGTAGAATGACCTAAAAACGGAACACATACGTAGTAAGTATACATGAACATGCAGGATTTTTTTTTCTAGAGATAAGATTCGATCATACATATTTTGCTTCATAAGATGAACTTGTTCACTATTCGATCACCTAGTTACATTAAATAGGAGAATTCGAGGAATTGAACAAGATTTCTCAAGTAAAATGATATCTATACATGAGATTGATTCCAGTTTAATGAGAAATCACGCATGTGTTATTGTCTTTCATCGATGCGTAACAATTGCAGATATTGGAAAAGGTACCATCATCATGCATAGGATATGACGACTTGAAAATTATTTTCCAAACATATGTAAGTTTCTGAACCCGTCCTGTAAATACATACTCGTTTTTTAGGTTTTTCTATTTGAGTAAGTTATACATATTAGAAACCTCTTCAAAAAGAATGAATATTCTATTTTGAGATGAATAATCACCTCCAGTCAAAGCATTCATTGTTATTCTTGTGAAATCATTATTCGTACGACACCTGTTAATTGAATTTAACGTGAGAGAAAAAAAAAACTTAACTTTTGTGATCTGAATACATAGATAATCATGTTTTTTCTTCAGTAAACAAACAGATTCTATTTTTAAACATAAGAATTTTGTTATTCTCATCGAATGTCTCGATTATGTTTGATTGAGAAATGTAGCTGAATATCATGTTGGCTGTGTAATTGTTGCCAACAAAATCTTTGTTTACAACATTTGAATGAATATAATGCTGTACTCATTTTTCAACTGAATGTACTTGAAGATCGTCTCAATACACTAGATATTCAAAAACTAACTGGCAATAGTCGTGAAAAACATGAACAGTAGAGTCAAGATTGTTTATTTGAACAAAAATGTCAAGAACTTGATCAACTTATTGATGAAATAGTTCGTCAACAACAAAAAGAACTCAATCGAATGCATTCAAAAATAACTGAACTCGTTAATAAAGAAGGAACAACTCATCAAGATATCAATTTATTGACATCAACTCGAAAGAAATATGAACACACTTGAAGAAACACGTTTTACAATCGATAATCGTCCTACAGAACAATTGCTTGCCCTAAAAGCAGTATTGAATTACTAACTGGCGGTGATCGCTACTTATTGAAACACCAAGAGCGTAACTTATGTTTATTTGATAGAAAAATGAACATAGTCAAACAAACATTATAGTCGTAGGATGAAATTCAGAACATGTATTGGTCATTAGCATTAAATCGATTCATTATGTTTGCAGAGAATAACATTTTTCTCATAAACGAAAACACAATGTCTATTGAAAATGTGCATACAATCAAATCATGTACATGTTTTGACATAGTTCTCTTTGCAAGCACTAATGAATTCCCTTCATCTATTCTGAAATTCATATTATTCCCTGAGATCTAATTGACTCGGAAATGGGAATATCCTCTGATATGTAGCAAAGATAAAACTATTGATGACACTGTTTACAATAAAAAAATTTTAGCTCTGATGATTGTAAATGTTTCCGAGAAATCAGTGCGCATTGAATTAAGACGGGCAAAAACGTTCGATCGTATCTGGTTACTTCAACTTGGTATTCAGTGCTTTCGCAATATAGCGTTTCACTGTTGTTCACTTACGATGAGACTGGACACTTGACGCAGATTATAAAGGATGGAAAAATTAAGAAAATAAATTAATATCATCGAATTCTCTACTGTGCTACTATGTGCGACCTAAATAACGTAGCTGTACCGACTATGGAGAGTGTATATCAGCATACAATTCAATCAAATGAATGACTGCATTCGTTTCATGTTTTGCTTTACTTTTTCTATGACGAATTCGAAATAATAATAGTTAATCACATTGTAGTGAAGTAGTATTTAAGATTAATTTTGAGAATCAAGATGAGTCACATAATCTTAATCATATTTTATCAAAGAACACGAAAGAAAAAAAAGACACAAAATATCTGACAAAAGAAATTTTCTTCTAATTAAGATGAATTCATTTGTTGTTCAAGTAATAAACGAGCCATTTGAACAAATGTTGGTGCTGCCATAGATGCTGATTCATCTGATTCACCATTCACCGGTGGCTAAAACAAAAATTTAACAATCATGATAATATCTATGTATTCATAAATTTTTACCATAGGAATGAATTTGATAGAATCTTGATCAGATATTGGTCTTTGCATAGAACCATTTCGAGTTGCAATAGTATGTGATACAACTTCATCATGTGTTTCATTCGAAAAATTCTATTTAGAAAAAAATCTTTTAGCAAAAAAAGAAACGAAACAAATATTTTAAACGTACACTAAATGGAATAGAAATAGTTGACCCTTCATTAATATCATCAGTATCAATTTTAGCAAGAAGAATATTTGTTACAGGACCTACACATAGAATAATAATAAAAAATACATGATAAAAATAGAATAATCTCTTTCTACTTGAACATGATTTCTTGAAACGTATTTGTCCTGATGATAAATCCCACATGACACAATCTTTATCAAGACTACCAGAATATAAAATCTGTTCATCAGCACTTAATCGAAGTGATATAACAGAACCTCTAAATAGACAAAATTCTCATTATAAATCATTTTCAAATATAATCTTGATGTTCAGTTTACTGATGATGATTTAGTTGTTTTGAATTATTATTATCAATTGTTATTGTTGGATTTTGATGTTGAATTCCTCCAAACTAAAATTTCATTCAACAAAAGTAAAATATTTTTTTTTCCTTTTGATTGTTATTTACTTGTGTTGTTAATGTTTGTAATGGAACAATAAAAATTGTACCAGTATCTGTACCACAATAAATTGTTGTTGAAAATGATGATGCACATATTGAATGAATTTCATTTGGAAATAAAAATGTACATAAACATTTTCCTGTAACAATATCCCATAACTAAAATTCAAAATGTATTACTTTAAAAAAAAACAACAAAGATTATTAAAACCTACTCGAACACTAAGATCACTTGAAGCAGTTAAAAGTAAATGAAATTTTCCAATTGATATTTGACAAAGATCATGAATAGGACCTGTATGACCTTGAAATGATTTCGATGGAGAAATATCTAGATTGCGATCAGGACTTATTCTTTAAGCAAAAAAAAAACAAAATAGTTTTTTTATTTTGTAGCGAAAAAAAAAGTTTTCTTTTACTCTTCAATATTCCATCGATGAATAAGATTATCTTCACCAACGGATATTAAACAATCTTGATCTTCATCAAATAATAAATGATTTATTGTTCGAATATGTGCTGAAAGTGTTATTAAATGTTGACCATTGTCAAGCTAAATAATAAAATAAAATCATAAATTTTAATTTTAATTTTAAATTTATATTTTTACTTTATAAAGAAATATTTTATTTCCTATTGCACAAGCTAAGATAGTTGAATCACGAATAAATATCATTGAATTAATAGGTCCTGCAACTGTTATTTTTTTATAATCTCGATTCTAGAAATAAATGTAAAAAAATAAAATTACTTAAGAATTAATTAAAATCTTACTCGACTATTTAATTTCCAAACATAAATTGAAGGACGATCAATTGCAGCAGCATAGATATGATCACGAGAACATAACAGACCATGACGTGCAACTGGTGCATCAGATTTAAATGTAAGAAGAACATTGCCATTTAATCCATTGAAAACGCTGATTGTCCATGGATGAGCTTGTTGAGTAGTAATTAAAACAGTTGGTTGATATTGAGCCATGGTTGTTGCCTTTGAAGGAAACATGATAATAGTAAAAAATGTTTTTTTATTTATGTCTAATTCCAGATTGGATTCGAGAAACGAATCTCTATCCAGAGAGAAATTAACTGGTTAGTCGATATAATAGATGTCGCTGTACAAAAAAAAGAGATTCGTTGAATAAAAATAATGCATAGTTTCAAAATAATCAATGTGTTATAAAGCCGTCACGAATAACAAACATACGCCGTAGAGAAGCAATCGATGAAAAAAAAACGTAAAATACCCATAACAATCCGTGAAATACCAACACATTTGCTAAAGTGATCAAATCCGACAGTACACTAATTGAAAATTTAAGAACACTATCAAATCCATATAGAAGATGTAAATATTAGCACTAAAAAATATATTATAAAAATGTCACTCTCATAAGACATCAGATTAGCTAATAATATCGAACCCGATTGTCAATGAACCTACAATTCGTTCCAGAGTATAATTTTGCTTAACTTTAGTTTGAATACTTTTGTGATAGACGCGTCATAGGGATCTACGATTTTCACAACATACGTATATCAATTCCTAGAATCAAAAGAATTACTATCATGTAATTATAAATAATAAAACAAAGATGATTAACCATAAAGACCAGAAACATTATGTTTTTTTTTAGCCATGATGAAAGAGATTCAATAGCATTCCAATGACTATACTGTTGTGTATAAGCACTAACAATTAATCCTGATGCATAAATTTTATTTGATTCAACCCATCGAAGTATACCAAAATCATCAACAGCTTTGCCATCAGGTACACCTAAAGAATTTTAAATATAAAATAAATATTCAAAGGTTAAGATATAAAGAAACAAACCATAATTGCCAATAACTGGAAAAGTAAGGACTAGAATTTTTCCACAATAAGATGAATTAGTCAATGATTCAGTATAACCGACCATACCAGTTTGAAAGACTAAATAAAAATAAAAATACATAACAAAAGAAGAGATCAATTAATGGAATCTTACCGACTTCACCGGTAGCATTAGTTGACGCTCCAAATACAAAACCATTGAATTTAGAATCATCTTCAAGTATTAAAGTTCCACGCTGCATCTTAAAAAAAGCTAAAATAAAAATAGTTCATTATTTAAAAACCGATAACTGATGTATTTATATAAATGAAAAACAACTACTGTATATAAATATGTTTGTTCTATCAAGGCTTTAAAAAGTATTATCTTTTTATATTCCATTGCACGAGATTTTGTACAGAATCGGAAAATAAACTTAATTAAGCTGTATTCGAAATATATGAGAAATATGGGCTAGGATATTGGATGGAGTCTATTCGCAGAAATGAGACGATGTAACCATTTGAATCATATTAACTTGAATTTTTCATCAATACTTTCTGACATATATCGTTATGAGATTTCAGCACTACATCTATTTCTCTTAGTTGAATGTATTTCTGAGATAAACCGACAAAATATTATAAGAATATCTTATTATGTTTTACTAAGACACAACACACTATAATGAATGTTAGAACATATAAATTTGTAACGAAATATTTACTATAGAATTATTTAAAACAGTTAATTGCACTCTCAAGAAAATAACGAAAGCATCACGCTGTAAAAAATAGAACTTTTGTATAAGCAGGAGATTGACAATACAAGAACGTGTACCTAAAACATCATATCTTCAACGAATTATAACTCTTCTAATCTTTACAATCTTTGTTGCATGTGAACGTCAAACTTCAACTCTACATCCATATTAGCTTGATGGATTCCAGTAAATTTTATTATGTCAATAAAAGATAGAATGAATTAATTTGCATTTTATTCAGAACAGAATCAAGTATAGTTGCTTTTGATGAAGATAATCATTGAGTTAAATGGCTAGGAATCTACGGATTCGAGCATTAGAATCGTTGATCTGTATGAATCTTCCCCTTTTTTATTTAGTACATCCTTTATGAAACTTCGTCATTATACATTTTGATACATTGTACTTACAGAAAAACGTAGTCACATACACTTTATTGATATAAGTCAGGGCTTTGATGAACAATACTTATGATGTTTGTATCTTTGTTTTAATTCGCTATTTCGTCTAAGAAACTTATTATTGTCTTATCTTATACGAAATAAACTAAATGAACGACTAGGACTATTTAAGCAGAGTAATAAAACTGAACGTATTCAAAAGAATTAGAACCATCAATCAACCTGCTTTAGTCTGCAAGCATTCCAAAGTAGGTTAGGTCAAAAAAGTAGTCTAATAAGACATTTTGTTCCGAAGCTTCATTAGAAATACTGTTGTAATGTTGCTAAAAATAATGTTTTTTTTTCTACAGACGTATCCATTGATGTCAGGGTATTTTATTGAGACGAAATGCCTTCTCTAGTGGATGTCAGAAAGCGCGCAATAGTAGAAATACATTACGATTTCTTTTGCGATGTGCGACGCTGTCATTCTATGGCTAATGGCCGAATCAGCATTTCTAAAGCAACAGACACTTATTGCTTTATTATTGGAAAACGTATACAATCGAGAATTTAAAAAACAAAAGAGAATGGTGATCATGAATATAGAAGATATGTATGCTTCATATTTAGTTGATAAGGACTATCATATTCTTAATTTTATGAATAATAGAACATTTATTCTTGTTGTATTATGATTGCTTCTCATAAAGTTCAAAAAGTGCACTCGATAAAACAATCAAAGTTTTATAGTTTTGTTTTTGTAAATACAAAAGTAGGATTATGCATTGGAAAAAGAAGCTTGATTTAGGGAGTTCATATCGGTGTGAAATATTGTGGACATATATTATGGACTTGGAAAACTATGACTATTTGCAAAAGCGTTGAAATTATTGCCACTGTTTTGTTGAGGAACATTGTTGCCTTCAGCCCACCATACGTTATTGTCGGGACCGACCAAAGATATGGTTACATAACCAGGATTAGCAGGAAAGGGTATGCATTCAGTCTGTTCAAGTTGAGTAATTTTGTAGCTAGTCTTAGATCCATTCAAGTCAACTACCACCGTATATTGTCCTCCGTTGGGATTGACGCTTTTGACAATAGAGTGGACAGCTACGCAATCTTGAGCATCATTACGATATTGAGGAACATCACCATTAACATTATTCTTAGGATGAATACGATACCACCAATAGAATTGATCATTCGTAACAGTGGGTCTGACATTGTTCTTGTACCATTGAATATAATGTTTTGAGAGTTCTAACCAGGCATTATGATGCATAGGTTTTGGACTATTAATCATGCTATTGATGCCTGCCATACCAGTAGGTAGATCACTACTAATAGAACATACATAAGAGGATTCCGAGTAGTCATTCCATGTAATAATTTGAACAAAATCTGGTTGTAAAGAAACGATCTGTTGCCATCTTTCTGGTAAAAGTCTTTCGGAACCATAGATCCAGTTCTTATACCATCCTGTTCCCCATACATATGTGTAGAACCATGGAGCAAGTGGGGCCATATAAGTTTTGCCGGTAGCTTTAGCACTAGCAAGAAGATTTCTATCACCGGCAGTGTCGAAGCGAGTGCCAGGTCCAGAATTGCCAGCAGGCCAAGCATTCCAAGTAAATATGCAATCAGCAACAGGATGTGATTGTAATAGATTGGTAGTTGGATAATTAGGCCAACTAGGACAAAAGTAAGGATTGAATCCACTAGCAACTTTCCAATTTGTCCAGAAATTGTCTTGGTTTTCGCCAGCAAAAGTAGAATAAAAAGGTCTACCGTTCACTTTGAAATAATTAGGATGACTAGCAGCAAAATGGAAACGACTAAGGACGCCATTATTAAATGTAAGTGAAGACATATCGAAAGAGATAAACATAGTAAAATCCCCATTATTCTGAGCAGCAGCAAGAGCCTTAGCTACACGATCTGGTTGCCAGTCATCGATGCCAACATTAAGTGCAAATCCATCGATACCGGCTGCTTTTGCTCTCTTGATTTGACCATCGAAAAAGTTCTGATCTGATGGATAGGCAAATCCAACCATATAATGAGCAAATACTTTTTTGTTGGATTTAGAACCCGATGGTTGACTAGGAGACGTAGTAGTAGGCGTGGTTGATGTGCCAATGACTTCAGCTGTTAGAGGATAGGCAAATGAGCCTACAATCTTCAGACGAATGGAACCCGTAGGCGTTGAGAACATACAGTTCGGTCCACCTCTTCCTGCACATCCCCAACTAACATCCCAAGAATCTCCAACAGTTACCTTCCAATAGTAGACCTTATTAGGTTGAAGTCCATGAATATCAACAGCATATTCGCACGATTGAACGTTGGTATCATGCATCAAACCTTTAGGTTCAGCGACATTCCAGTTTGAGTTAGATCCAGCATCAATAGCCCAATCACCAACAGCACGATACGTTTGGTCAGCCCATCCGCAGTTAGGATCATTGTATCTAGCCGAAATTATGCCGACACAGTTTAATACGACGAACACAAAGAATTGTATTCTAGTAATAGTCATCTACAAAATATATCAGCAGTGTAAAGAAATGAAATATAAAAAAACTAGTCCAATCGCGAAAATGAAAGAAAAATCTTTTGATTGTGCTTGTATTAGGTTGAAAAAAAAAGAACGATCGTTCGTTAAGATGAAACCCTTATAGAATGAGATGATGGCTTGTCTGTCTAAATCAACTGAATACGTGTATTTATATACTGATGTGCTTATTCTCTTTCTTCGAATGTCATACTATTTAGATGGTAGTCAGCATCAAATATGCCGCTTTTTTTTCACCAGGTGCTACTCTAATAACTTAGTCTTGTTTTTCACTCCCATATAAGTAATTAGACTACCTATTCTCCTTTGTACTTTGTATATGAAGCCTTATATATGAAGTATTCTCTTCACAGTATAATTATATGCACTTTTCACTGAGAGAAAAAGTGCTCTTCAACACGGTAACCGAAGATGAATGGCTTATCGACCTATTCTACTCGTATATTTTGTTTTTACTTTCTTCTTTTTATCAAATTGTCATCCTGCTATTTCGACTCTTTAGTCAGTTTATCATGTTCACAAAACGTCTATGATTGAGTGTCTTACAAGGAGCGGCACAATAAACTGGATGTTTACCATATAAAATGATCAATCTAATGAGTATCGTCTACTATTTTTAGATCAAAAAGTTCACAAACAGATACATAGTTGAAACTGTTGTGAATGCTAAAATGGCTACAACGCCTATTAATCACTCGAAATATTGGTGTGCAGTAGAAATGTCGAAAGGAAAAATGTCGAAAGAAAAAAAAATAGGGTAAAAATGTCGAAAGAAAAATGTCGAAAGGGAAAAACGTCGAAGGGAAAAATATCGAAAGGGAAAAATGTCGAAAGAAAAAATGACGAAGGGGGAAAATGTCGAAAAATGAATTCTAACACAAAAAGATGTAAAAATAAAAAATACAAGAAACAACGATGTCTTCCATAAATGACAACTCTAAATTCGAACAATGCATGTTTTCTTTTCTTATAATTGTACTAGTCGAGATTTTTTCACCACTAGTAGTAAAGATGACTAATAAGTGATAAAGATTAAATAAACAACTATATACGAAGTAAATAAATAACTAAAGTGATAATAGTATGCCAACAAATACGGTATTTTCAAATGACGGAACTCAACCAAAATTGAGCATTTCATTTATTAAATCACAAAAAGGAAAAACTTTATTAGTAGCAAATGAATATACTTTCAAACTAAACAAAACAACAACTACAACTAAATATTGGAAGTGTACATACAATGGTGGCTCTTCTAAAATTCATACAGATTTGAATGATAAATTACTTAAAACAATTGCAATTCAACGTCGTGTCGATAATCTTGGTGAACGATATTATGATGGTGTTATAAATGCTATGGAATACTTAGATGGCTTATCATTCATCGTTGCAAAACGAAAAAATTAATTTTTTAAATTTATTTCTTCATTCATACATTTTTTTCTATTAACATATGTTAGTGTTCGCATAAAAAATAAAGAACGTCTCTTCTATTTCAAGATTTTCTAACAAGAATAATAAGCCATTTTCTTATTGTATATTTTTTTCGACATTTTTCCCTTTCGGTGTTTTTTCTTTCAACATTTTTTCCCTTCGCTTTTTCGACATTTTTCCCTTTCGGTGTTTTTTCTTTCGACATTTTTTCCCTTCGCTTTTTCGACATTTTTCCTTTCGACATTTCTACTGCCAACCGAAATATTAATTGTATTGTTTAAAGAGACATTGAACATTGCTAAAGAATCAACAAACATGTCTCATAAATCAATCACTGTGTAACGAGAACCTACACGTCATGATATATAGCAAAGCAGATACTCAATTAGTTAGATAAGGATGTACTTTTTGAATGAAGTGACGAAAACGAATGTATAATTTGTTGAGAAGAAAAGAAATTATAGTGAAAGAGAGAAAGGAAAAACAATCATATTTTCTTCTTTCTTAAAAGAAGAATATTGAAAAAGAGTTCTTAAGTTAACAGAAAAGAGAAAACGAATATGAAATATGTCCTTGAGTTAAAAAAAGAAGATGCATCAATGTATTAACGAAATAGAAAACAAATGAAGCAGAAGAAGAAGAAAAGGCGACATCAAGCAGCTACGTGTATTGGTACGGACTCTTATCCGACAAACTGTAGTAAAATAAGAGAAACAATAGCAAGTGTTGAATCATTGGTCAGTTGATTTCCAGAATGGACTAGATATAGCACTAATATCAATAGATAGAGAAAAATTTTCTCGATTGAATTGTATTTGTGGCTTGTTTTTTAAATTGGCATATGATTACAAAAACGTCATAAAATCTGAGATTCTAGCGATATCTTTTAATGTACTTCGTATTATTCAATAAGATCTTAAAAACTTGCATTAAAACCAAGCAAACGAACATCTGGCTAGTTTATTTGCATTACTCTGTCTCAAAAATTTTGCATATTGACTTAGAAAAAAAAAGTTTAAACACGTGGTGTCCTCCAATAAGTATGTTTGATATTAATTCGATGATTCATCGGATTATGAGCACCTACTATATATACGATTGACGTTTCTGGAAGGGATGTAAGATAAGACCCTAAACACACACTCTTCATTCAAATTCCTACATTCTTGAAAAATATGGTGATCTATTTGGAGACTCATCTCATTGCATTGAATTCACTTGAAATCATTAAATTAACGGCATTTGATAACCAGAAATATATCAGATGAATATCCTAATAGTTATGTTTCGAATTTCAATACTCGATATATGGATATTATGACATAGCATATGAAAGTCTGAAAAATTGAAAAAAAAACCTTCTCGGATTGATAGATGTCATGAGTTGATATTCTTCATAGATATTCTTCAATCATTGGTTATAGCCTATGACTAATGATGAAACTACCATTGGACCCAGGTAGCAAAACGATTACTGCTGATCACTATTTTAGTTTGCTGTTTATGTCTTGATCTTGTCATCAATGTTAGTCTGTTCGAACTGTGTCGTACGTTTATCTCCATTATTATGCAAATATATAACCATATCTTCACTATCAAGTCTATCATCAAAACCATGGCTATTGTTCCATAATGGCCTTGAAAATTCGATTCGAACAAATTTTTCTAACACGTTACAATCAAAAATTCTAACCGGTACATCAAATTGTAAAAATTATTTTAATAATTTTTTGTCTTTTGTTTTATTTTTCTAGCTTTTTCTACTACACATTCACGTTCATTTCATACATCAAATAAACTAGATAAAAAAGATTACTATGAAGTCTTAGGTATACCAAAAACAGCCACTGCAAAAGAAATCAAAAAAGCTTATTATACAGTTTGTTTTATTTCTTATTTCTTAATTAAATAATTTATTCATTTGTTATTATTTAGCTAGCAAAACAATATCATCCCGATACAACAGACAAGAAAGATTCGGCAACAACAAAAAAATTTCAAGAAGTATCAGAAGCTTATGAAGTATTAAGTGATGAAACAAAACGAAAAAATTATGATACATATGGTATGGGTGGTGATCCATTTAGTGCAGGTCAAGGTGCATATCCCGGTGCTCGTGGTCCTTCAGGTGATTCACGTCAAGGTGGTTTTCGTGGTTATGAATATTATCAATCTCAAGTTGATCCCGAAGAATTATTTCGAAAAATTTTTGGTGATGCATTTAGTCGAGGTGGATTTAGTAGTCATGAATGGATGAATGATACCGATGAGAATTCATTCCATAGACAAGGCATTACACAAGTAATCATTTTGATTTAATTAAGAGAAATATCAGCTTTATACTACATTGTATCCTTATATAAAAAAAACTATTTTGTAAAAGTTATCCTTGTTTTCGTTTCAACGAATCATGGAAAGTTTTTATAAATTCTAGCAGAGAAAATGAGCTATTTCTATGGGCCTAACATATCTATTTGAACTATCTTATCGAGATTCAGAATCAAAGAGTTCAGAGCTGATTTTTTTATATATGTTATACGACATTTAGATTCATAGAAAATGTTCTTCGAGAAAAAAACTGACTTTCGAGACGCCACGGGGCAAAATTTTAATAGAAAACAGTCATAAGAGATTTCAAATGAATTTTTCATAGGAAAAAGATTTTTCTGAAATCGAATTGGACTAAAAATGTTTGTTTTATTAAAAGACCATTATGTAAAAGAGAGGTGTGAACTCTGAAAGTACCATTTTGTAGAAATTAGAAATTTGCATAACATAAATAAAATCTAGCGTGGAACTCTTTGATTCTGAATCCCAACAGACCATAATCAAATAAATACTTTCGACACATCAAAAGAACCTTTTCCTGCTTTTTCTCACACGAGAATTTGATAGTAGTAAAAAACCGATGCCAGAAGTCGAAACATGCAAGTATTTTGTTTCCCGTTCCGGTCTTTTTTTTTCGCTGCGTCGCTACGTCTTCATAAGATGTTCGTATCTTTTAATTATATCACAAAAACAATATAGCTCGAGATCAATCAATATTTTACTTTGCTATTCTTCGTTGAACGAAGAAATAAAATATTATTCACAGATGATGAGTCTAAATTAGATCTTCTTTAGTTGACAACTTGACCTGATGATGAAAAATTTCTTTCAACAACAGCTGAGCTCTGTGTTAATGAGTATATGCAACATGCTAATTAATCTGACACCATCGTAACCTTTCTTCATCCTGCCACATTTTTTTATTCAGTGTTTCGTATTCTCGATAATCATAAGATTGATTTTCTCAAATATTTTTTTTTCTTTTTTCAGTTATCATTAGATTTAACATTTCAAGAAGCTGTACGTGGTTGTAATAAAGATGTAAATGTTCGAATTGTTGATACATGTCCAACGTGTAAAGGTTCCCGTTGTGCAGCTGGTACACAACCACAAAAATGTCGTACATGTAATGGAACTGGTATGGAAACAATTGAAACAGGTCCATTTTTTATGCGTGCAACATGTCGAGCATGTCATGGTCGACGTGAAACAATTCCAAAACCATGTTTTGAATGTCAAGGAAAAGGAAAAACAACTCAAAAGAAAACTACAACTATACCAATACCAGCTGGTAAACAGTTTTTTTTTATTTAATTAAAATTTGTAAAGAAATATCTTTTTGTTGTTTGTTAGGTGTGGAAGATGGACAAACAATGAGAGTTAATTTAGGTTCATCTGAAGTTTTTGTTACATTTCGTGTTAAATCAAGTGAAAGATTTCGAAGAGATAAAGAAGATGTTCATAGTGAAGTTAATTTATCAATTTTTCAAGCTATCCTTGGCGGTGCAACTAAAGTACCGGGAATTTATGAAGATCATGTTTTACAAGTGAGAAAGAACGAATTTTCTTTGTCATCAAATAGATGATTCAATTTTTAGATTCCACCTGGTACACAATCCCATCAACGTTTTCGTCTTATTGGTAAAGGCATAAAACGTCTTCATAGTCCAGGAACTGGTGATCATTATGTTCATGTGAAAATAAAAGTTCCTACGTATATTTAATTTTGAGTTTTAATTATGAGAATATTTTTTTATTATTTGTGTTTTTTTTTCTATAGACGATTAACAGCTGAACAAAAAGCATTAATATTATCACTTGCTGAATTAGATAAAGATATTGATGGAACAATTAATGGTTTAACACAAACAAAATCTGGTACAAAAAAAAACAAAAATAATTTGAAATATTATTTTTCTATCAAAATGTGTTTCCTTGTTTTTTTTAGGAAGTCGAGTGATCAATGAGGATGAATATCCTTTATTAAAATCAATACGACAAATATTATCGAATTTACCACTTGGTAGTAAAAAAGTAGCTGATACAATTGAAGAAAAAGAAACCGATACAAAACGTAATTCAACAGCTAAGAAAAAAACAAGCAACAATTAGTTTATGTGTTGTGCCAGATTCAAATTTGTTTTTTTTTTTTTTTCATTCTTTTCTTTTTTTGTTAACTTTACAGAATGCTTTTTGTTAAAAAAAAAGACAGTAATAAACATAAATCTGGCAATGAAATTTTAATTCGGATTCCATTAAAAGTATTCGATCAAATTTTTCTTATTGGTTATTATTATATTCTAAAATATACATTTCAATTATGGCTTGTATTTTTAAATACAAAACATCTTCAATATAAATCTTTTATGTAGACAAAGATAGAAAACTGAACATAAACATTTTTCAACTATTCAAGTTTTGACGAAACGAATTATCTAAGTCTTGTTGTTAATATTGTTCAGCACCTTTTTTCTACTACTAAGAAACTTTGCTAACGAATTTTGAAACATATTGCTTTTCATTGTTTTGGAAACATTCTCTATGACTGTTCGCCTTTATTGCCTCGTCTTCTCCATTTCTGATGGGTTCTACAAAACAACAGAGTCTTGAAGATATCAAATAATTATTTGTATTTCTGTAGTTCATATTACTTGTCTGTCTATTTGATTTATTATGGAATAATAATAACAGAAAAGTTTTCTTGAAATATAATTTTTATTTTTTTCAAAAAAATGAACGTCTCAAATTAGCATTGATTTGACAATACATTTTGTTGAAATTGTCCCATATAATTTCCTGGTGGATTATAATTAGCAACAACAACAGCTGTACGTCCACCATTACCAAAACCAATACCAACACCAAGTTTTGTGCTACCTTTCCATACAACTTGGGTAAAATGACCAGTTTGCGAAGAAAAACCTGGTCGATTAAAGCTATACATACTGATTTCGTCGTACCATGATTGAGTGGCTGCACTTCCTAAAAATACAATTAAGTAATAAAAAAAAATTGACTGAAATTAAAATTAAAATATCTTAACCATGTAAATTTGCTAATGATGATGAACTACTCATCATATAAAGATTTTCTCCATAACCATTATTTGAATGTTGAAACAGATTTCTTGAAGCAAGATATTCAGCATAGTTTTGTGCTATTGTACTCAGATTATTATCAAGTTGAAGTGGTGGAGCACAATGACGAGCTCGTAATTCATTATGACGTTGTAATGTTTCGGCTTGAAATCGAGTTTGAGCCGTTGTAAAAGCATTTGCTAATATAAAATATTTTTCATTATCTTTTTAGTTAATTAAGTTTTATTTACCTGACACAACAGCAAATACAACGAAAATTAATGCTGAAAGTTGCATCGTAATTTTCAATAAACTTCTGACAAAAAAAAAATAAATAAAGCAATAAAAGAATATTCAATCATCGTAAAACTTACGGTTACTTTTAAAAAATAAGATGAAATGATATTGAATTGATCATTCATGATTTTATATACTATTGAAAATATGTAACCAAATACTCTTAATACTTAATTTTCAATTATCAAAGAGCAAACATATTTTTGATGATTAACCATCAAAACAAATGTGTCCGATTACCTAAAAGATTATTGCTTTTGTTGATACGTCGACTAGTCTTCAAAATATTTTTTTTGCTTAAACTAAGATATCAAATTTATTCTAGGCATTCTTTAGATGATACTCATCGATCAATTTCTATTGACGTATTAACAATTTTCATCGTCGTAATTGATGATTGTTTTTTATTAGAGCCGCGCATCAGACATCAAAATTTGATTTCTAAATCCCACTCTAACGTAGGTGAAGTCGGAGCCGCAAATAGAATACTGTTCGACATTAGAACGATTCAGAAAAATTGCTCTCCGAAATCAGCCTCACAATAAGACCAGTAGAACAATCAACATTTGAGTCTTGCAAAGTACTAACTTTATTCTTTAGATGTTTGATATACAAAAATATTCTATTTATTAGTTTTATAAATATGTTTCCACAGTGAAAAAGTGAATAAAATGGTTTAGATATCGTTAAAATACATCAAAAAACTGTTCAGACTTGGTCAGACTCTATTTTTCACTAATGAATATGGCATGAAAGGCACAAAATTAATCAATAAATCATTGTGTTATCTATCCAGCAAATCACAATGATACTTATTCAATACTAAAATATTTCAAATTTTTTTTTTTAATGAAATCATTTTATTAATTATTAGAAAAAGTATATTAAATTGAATGTTTGCAAGTTATTTTTCTTTAATTCAATACAATGAAGAAGAAATTCTTCGAGTGCATTTTGATCAATAACATTCGTTTAAATATATACTACCGAACGAATTCATCATAATAGAAATCACTATTCATGTGTTTTGTCTACTAATTTCTCTCTGTTTATGATCGATTCAATCAAATACGTCTGTAATGTACATACAAATCACTACCTGGATAATTCTTTTTCATTTAAGAAAGAAAAAAAAAAGAAGAAAATGTAGAAATACTAAATGTAAACATTCTCGACTATATTCATCATATTTCCATCTTTGTCGATACTGATCAGTTCATTGTATATAATAATCATTGGTATCTGTATTTATATCTATATAAAAATATCCAAGTACAATGAGTGAAATAAATTATTGTTCATCATCACCGATCCGTATACATTTTTCTGATGTAACAAATAAAAAAACAATTATTGATGATGATTGTCGATGGAAATTAGCAAGTGGTAAATTAATAAAAAAAAAAAATTTTCTTTTTTTTTGTAAATCAAAAAATAAATTATTTTATTTTAGCAGCACCAACAATAACAATTGAAAATGATGAAAATGAAAATGATGCATGGAATGAATATCGACATTTATTTGAAACAAATAATTCACACATGTTAAATCCATCATCAATTGATAATTATTTTCTTCGACATAGTAGTGCTAATACAAGTTTAAATGAATCATCATCATTTGAACCATTAATTGATAATCATGATGATATTTTTTCAATAATTGAACAAGCTGGTATTACATTTGGTAAGCGAAAAATAAAAACAATGATTTAAAAAACAAAAAAGAATTTCTTTTTTTTTTTAGATGCATTAACTGGATCATCATCAGTAGATCTACTTGGTAGTACAAGTGGTTATCATTCATATGAACCATCACCATTTAATCATCGTTTAAAACGATCATCAATACTTGATCCGTCTGCCGCTGAATTTCATATGGAAACCGAACTAAGTTCATTATCTAATAATCAATCAACAAAACGATCTTCAGTGCAAAATGATCAACAAAATCGTCGAATGTCACGATCACAAAATAATACTACACAACGTATTTCTACTTCATGTAAATATTTTTAGAAAATGACTTTTGCCTAATTGATGCTTCGTTTTTTTTTAATTTAGATGAATATAAATTTGGTGGTTATGGCCGTGGAATTAATGAATTTCTTGAACCCAATGGTATTACTTTTCTATCTGATGGTACTATTACAGTTGTAGATACAAATTCAAGTCAAGTTAAATTATTTGATCCAATCCGTCGAGAATGCATACTTAAATTTGGTCAAGCAGGTACAAGACCTGGTGCACTACTTTATCCATATCGTATTGCTGTTTTACCAGGACATGATTTAGTAAGATTTATTTTTATTATATATAATTGATGTTAATAAATTATTCAATAGCTTGTTATGGTTCAACGATCACCACGACCAATGATTCAAATATTTGATCGTAATGGTCAATTCATTAGTCGCTTTGGAAATGATCTCGAAAGTCCACGCGCTATTTGTATTGATCAACAAGGACGTATTATTATTATGGAATCAAAAATTATGAAAGGTAATATTGTAAAATTTATTTTATTAAGATCAAAAGAAGACAATGAGTACTTGTAAAAAGTGTGAACATCTATTCTAGACTGTATACTTTGTCTTTTCAACTAAAATATAGCCTTTTTTTTATGTGAACATAGATACTTCATAGATACCTACGATTACTTTAATTTTTATTTATATAAAATATTTTACAATTAAATATCAAGGTAGTCAAGGATAAATTTTGGATATGCGGACGGCCATGATTTTAATTAAAAAAAGATAACGTTAGTTACCTTGATATTTGTTAAATATCTTGTATAATTAAAAATCAAAATAACTATGACTGTTCGTGCTCACAAAAAAAAAAAAGAGTTAAATTCCAATTTATAATAAAAATCGTGGCCTAGAATGTATGTACATAGTTTTTATAGATGTTTAAAGGGAAGAAAATAAGTATCGAAAATTCTTACCAACGGATAAAAGTTTAGCCATTTTCGATAGAACTTAGACGACCTACAACTAAACTTCATTCGATTTAGATTTCGAACGAATTCAATAAGTTCTAACTTGATATTCATATATATTTAATCAAGGACATGAACTAAATAAATTCTCTTCATGTAATTTTCTACTATAACAAATATAAAATTCCATTTTTTTTTAAATCTTTTTATTGATGAATCGTTTATTTGAAATTTATAATTTTTATAGTTCATATCTATGATGCAACATCAGGTCGTATTTGGGGTCAATTTGATTTACGTGATCATTTAAGTTTTCCGACAAGTGTCTGTGTCAATGATCGACATGAACTTTATGTTAGTGATAATGAATCACATTTTGTACGAGTATTTGATTATAATGGAAAACATTTGAAAAATATTGGTGCTGGTATATCTTATCCGATAGCATGTCGTATTGTAAGAAATATTTTATTTAGTTGTTTTTTTTTTTTGTTTTCTCTATTCGTTTCTTTTACTTTTAGAATCAACCACGACGTGAACTTATTGTTGTTGATAATCATGAAAATTTTAATATAACAACATATGATTATGATGGAAATAAAAAATATTCACATTATTCAGTAAGATTTTCATTTTGTCTTTTTTTTTTTTTATTCAAATATGTAACTTTTGTTTCTTTTCTTTTTTTTGTTCGGTATTTAGTTAATGAAACATTCTCAATGTTTCGATGTTGCTGTTGGATATAATGATGAATTAGCAATGGCATCTAAAGATTATAAAATTTATGTTTATAAATTAGGCGAAGGTCTTGATATAACAAGCAGTGATATAACTCATAATTATTGTTAAATTAAATTTTTTTTTTTTTCTTTTGTTCTTACAATGATCTTTAATTATTATCTTGTTCGTTCTCGTGTGTGTGTGTGTGCGTGTTGTACAAATGGATTTCTATCTACCGCGTAATAATATTATAAAAAAAAAAATATATAAAAATTATCTTTCTTCACCTTTGTGGTAGACGAATTGATTTTTTTTTTCTTCATCTTAGCATAAGTTCATTTGATTTTTTTTTTCTCTGCCTTTTCGTTTATTTTTTTATTTTGTTATACTTCAACATTCAAACGGATTAATTTCTATTTTTTTTTTCTTTACGTTTTTTTTTTTTTGTTGTACAACACTTCTATTTGACCAAGCATATATTAATATAAATTGGAATATGACGTGCGAAGTAAAAGAATTTATAAGTTTTTTATTTAACAGGAAACTTGCTTTTTTTTTTCTTCTTCTTCTTTTTACAATTGAATATAGTATTTAAAACTAAAGTAATAACATTTTGACTGAAGACAAATACATATTGATTAATTATTCGAAGAGAATATTACGATTACTATTTACTTTGAATTGAACAATGAATGTCTTAGTACATAAATTGGAAAAAATAAATAGAAATTTTCATGAATAGAATTAAATTACTATTTTCTTCTGTTATAAACGTGAATAAATTGAATTAGATTGCATAATTTTTATGTTTAACAGGACTTTATCAAACAGTATTAATGACATTATATTATTTTAATGTTACTGTCTTGTATGCAAATATGTCCTTTTTTTTTTTCCTTGAAAAAAAAATATATATGATAATGTAGTATCCACTTTGTCTATATGGTAATCCATTAAATGATGGAAAGTAATCATTTTATGTATTTATTACCTCAAAAGATTAAATCTACATTTACAGGTAAAAATATGATAGACATTTCATTAACTAATTAAAAAATTGTTAATAATATAATGCACTAGACAAAACCTTGATGTTCTCATTAAAGAAAAGTTAGTCTAAACTCTACATGACGCATCGTTAAATAATTATTTATAAGTATTTACTGATCTAATTATAAATATACATCAATCTATCGTTGCATACTTTTTTTTTTTTTCTATATACTTAATGATAAGACGAAAAAAACAAAAATGTTTTCTTTTTCTGTCATAGAATCCATAGTAACTCAATGTATTGTTTTTTTTTCGAGTTACATTCAAAGTCTATTTTATGGCAGTATTGTCAGATAAAATTTTATTAATGGATCAAAACAGAATAATATTATTTTTTTCTAGCTATTTAACATCTAGTTTTATTTATAAGCAAATAAATTACTGTCGTTAAAATTATTGGATTAGACAGTCTTGTACATAAAGTATATTCGTATGTATATATATCCTTGAAATCTATACAAAAAAATATTTGCTCACAATCAAACAGCAATTTATGCATGTGTAGACAAATGTATAAATCAGTCCAATCTGTTGTTGTTTTTTTTTATTTTATTTTCGAAAAGATTGTATAGAAAAAAAAAAAAAATGTTATTCATGTAAAAATTTAAGAAGCGTAAATGATGTAGTTTTTTTCTTTTATATTGTTTATTGGACGAGTAAAAACAAAAAGATAAAATAAAGGGAAACATCCTTTTTTCCGAGTTAAGTTATTGTTCTTTTTTTTTCAAGGAAAAACGTTGTCTCGAAAGCAAAATTTGTTATTATATTTTCTTTATGATGAAGGTAAATTCCATAATATATATTGTTAGAATAAAAGAATAAAAAAACTTATTCAAGGAAAAATGAGTGTTTGTCTCATTACCAAGAATATAAAATAATAGTTAAAAGCATGAAAAGAATGAAAGTTTTCGTCTGCAAGTATTTTTAGGTAAACAATGGTAACATCAAAAAAATATGGAACTATGAATTAAATCGTGTGAGGCTTTTTTTTTTTTTCTTTTATTTTTTTTTACTCGAGGACATAACAATTATCAATTCATCTTATAAATAGAAAAAATAACCTTGAAATTTTCGACAAATGATTGAAGCTTTAGGAATTACCACTATAGTTTTGTTATTATTTGACTAACTGTCATAAACAACATAAGCAACGTAAATTTTATTTTCTTATGACAAAAAAAAAAAAAGAAAACGCAACAATAACCGCAAATGAATAGTATGTCAAAATGTTAAAAACGAAAGAGCATGTCTTAATTAACTGTAAAAAAAAAAAAAAAATTATTCTTTTACAGAAAAAAAAAAAGAAGGGACTTTTCACAAAGGAAAAAAGGGAGAAAAAAGAAAAGGGTGTATTTAAGTATATATAGAAACCGCAAAAAAAAAATCAAGAGTATTTGCTTCGGATCAACTTAATATAGACGACAACATCATCGGAGAGGTGTATGTGGCTCTTTTTTTGTGCCCATGTGCGCTCGTTATTAACCACTACTTATTGTAGATTGCACATATTTGCGTTCACGTCGTCAATTTTTTAATTCAATGCCAAACCAAAAAAAAAAAAAAAAAAAGAGAACTAAAGTGTTTATGCGTTTGTTTTCAACAACAACCACTGTGAAAAAAAAAATGTCATATTTTTTTTCTCTCTCTCTCTCTCCCGTAATTTTTCTCGTAGAACTTTTTTTTTTTCAATACTTTTTAGTCATATTTTTTTTTTTTGTTGATGTGTTTACATACAAAGTAGACAACGAATAGTAATTACATATTTACATTATTCGAGGTTCAAATGTAGTCGGTTAAAAAAACATATTGAATCATTTTTTCATTATTATCTGTAGATTAATTTTCAACGAGAAAAATTTCTTCTAATGGAAACGTTTATACATGATAATCCATGTTGTTATCAATGGAATGATGGTTGGCCATTATCTGCTGCTTTAACACAACCGTTTGAATGTGAAACAATACCTTGTTGTGAAAGTGATTTTGCATTAGTTCGTCATCCTCAAAATTTTATAACAGGTCGAAGATTTCGACGAGATTATTTCAGTATGTTTCAATTTAAAAAGAAATAAATAAAAATTCATTGAAATTTTTATTTATTTATTTTAATTAAAAAATCAATAGATGTATATCATCCAAATGCTTGTTATGGTTCATGCTGTTGTTTACCAGCAATACCATGTGGATCAATGCATCGGTGTGTTTCAAGAGATGGATTCTTTAGAAATTTAGGTAAATATCAAATGAAATGAATCCATAATTAATCCATGTGATTGAGATAAATTAGGATCGGTAACAATGGAAGAACAAGTATGTCGACCTATGGTTACATATGTTCGTACAGTATCACCAATTATTCGACAATTAAAAGTACGACCACGGCCTTCATCTTGTGTTGATCTTCGAAATCGTGAAAAACAAGGTAAATAATTTATGATTTAGTTTTTGTTTATATTTATTATTTTCAAGTATTTAAAAAATTGATCTAGAAAAACATGTTGATGTGCATCGTGAAGAACGTTATGAATATAATTATAATTTTAATTTTCCAAGTGAACTATTTTCTTTTTTTTTTTTTTCAAATTATTTTGGACTTTTTATTCTACTTTTTTTTTTTTTTTCTACAATATTTCAAGATGAACCACCAAAATTACCAACACCACCGCCACCACCAGTCATAGGTTGATATTATAAAAAAAAAAGAAAAAAACTCGTTATAATTTTTACTAATTTCATTTAGTTCGTCCACCGACAAAAGATACTGGTGTAATAACTGATAGGATAACTAAACGACCTTTAACTATGACAGGTAAAAGAAAAATAAATATATATTTTATTTCTTATTTAAATTTACTAATCAAATAGAAACAGAAAGATTTGATCGATATGAACATGAAGAAAAAATAAAAAAAGATCAAGTTGTGAAAGGTTAGAAAATTTATATAATTCATTCGACAAATAATTTCTTTTTTTTTTTTTCAAAACAGAAGAAACTAAAATTATTCGTACAGTAGTAGAAGAGCCAACACGACATTATTATGAATGTAAGAAATATTTTTCTATTTTTCTTGTTTGATTAATATAATTATTAAATGTTTTAATATATATTTTTAATCATAGATCATGATACTTCTGGTGACGAGTATCAACAAAGTTGCAGAAAAGCACAACGTAAAGATTTTATTCAACGAATGCATGTTCAAAATGGTAATGTTCTTTTTTTTTTTTATTTCTCTTTATATTTGATTTTTTTTATTGGATGTTTTGTGGAATTTTTATTTGTTTGCTAGAATGATTTATTTCTTTTCTGACAGGAAAAAAAAACAACATTAAGTGAAGTATAGTAAGCTTTGATAAAGTATATTTGATCTATGATTGACAAGATTTTAGATTTTATTCGATTTATCAAAGTAAAAAGCTTGGAATATTTATGTCCCTTGAGATATATATTGATAAAGATATTTAATATCACATCGATATGAATCATCAGCATTAGTATTAATAGGTGAAGGTCGAATCAGCTTGCGATTCGAAACTATGTACATCATTTATATACTAACGAACTATTTATAGATGAAGAAGAGCTCAGATCATTAGCTACAACATTGAATCTAGTAATGTTTAAGATGAATTTTTATCTTAGGATAGGAATAATGAAAAAACCTAAAATTTCTACAATGAAGTACTGTCATTAAGGTTTGTCGTTGTGCAAAGTTTCAAGTTGAAATTCAAAAAGTGAGTCTTCCCTATGTTTCTGAGAAGTAGTCCTATCCCATAGGGCTCCAAAAACCACACAGCATGAAATTACTCAACATTCATAAAAATGCAATAATTTCGCCACAATAAGATAACGGCTCGAATTCTTCCTAGGATGTCAATATCTACACGCTGTCCATGATGTCGATTCAAAAGTAATTAATTAGCTGGAAGACTTCTTGTATAAGACAGATTAGAATCGGCCTTTTCTTCCACTTATATACCTTTATAAAAAGAATAGTTAATAAGCTTTAAAACTGATCATGACTGTATACTTATGGCTCGCTTATCCATCTTCAAGATAACGTCTATCGTTGTGCTGCCAGATATTCAGGACTGAAACATTCTGAAAACAAAACAGGATTCATTATTTGAAAAAGTGTTTAACTCGCTAGACTCTAGTTTTGCACTCTATTTCGTATCGATGATCACTAGGACCATCTTAAGTGTATTGTTTCTCCTTTCAAAAGTCAAATAATGAATTTGACACTTGTTTTTATGTGTAGTAGAAGAAAACAAGAGAGAGAGGGTGTCTTTTTAATTTTTCATAGAATATTTATTTTAGGTACAACACAAAAAACATTCAATGCATCAAATACATATGCGGATCTTGGAAACAACTATGTTAATATTCAATCAGTATCACAACCACGTGAAACCATTGTTCGTACTATGGAAACAAGTTCTTCTCAAGGTTTTACACCTGTTGTAAAAAGACCATTACATGTTGAAGAAAGTTCGGGATCGCGATTTTGTGTTGAAGAAAGCTCGGGATCACGATATCATACTGAAACAACACCAGCACATGCTGAAGAAAGTTCTATATTGCGATATCGTGTCGAAACAACACCAGCACATGCTGAAGAAAGTTCTATATTGCGATATCGTGTTGACACAACTTAATTTAAATGAATCATCATCATTTTACAACGAACAATTTTCTTCTACATTTCAAAACATTCGATTATTTCTTTTCTTTTCTTTTTTCTTTTGTTCAGATACAATTATTCTTATTTCCTTTATACACTAATAAGGAGTCTACTAGAGGGGAAAAAGAAAAAATATTGTAGATAGATTCTAATGTCTTGATTATATTTTACTTATAAAAAAAAATTACTCTTCATCATTTATATTCAAAAAGAAAATACAGCTCGTTTAAATTGAAAGAAAACAAAAAGAACAAATATTTGATTATTTTTTTCGATTTTCACGGCTTCATGCATATCATACATTCGTTTCGTCAAACATATTGATTTAATTCTAGTCGTTGTTGCCGCAAAAAAATGAATCTCGTTTCGCATAGTTGTCAAAACAAAAAATCTAATATTCATAAAGGAGTCAAGAGAAGTAAAAAAAAAGACCTATTCTATTAAGGTTCTTTTTTTTTCATATAATAAAAATTTCTATTCTCTTTTATAACAATCATTATCCACATATATATATATATAATAAATAGAGAGTAGTAATTCTAACATAATAATTTATTTAAAAAAAAAAATTATAAATTATACGAATATTCTTACTCGATCTCACAAGCTCATTTATTATTATGAAGATAAGACAAACAAAATGTGTTTTGAAAAAATTTATAGTAGATAGATGATTACTATATTCGAGAGAATTTTATCATAGCAAAACAAAAAAAGAACTTATTGATATCATATCTTTAGATTCTTTTTGTGTAAAACATATGTTCAGTCATTAATATCGGATGTGACATATGTTTTGTGATATGATTTATTTTACATGTAACTCTGTTCGGAAACCTAATAAAACGAGAATTTTGTTTTTTTTTTTTGTAAATGAAGCATCATTGAATGTTTTACTCGGCTTACAATACTAAATCTTGATAACTATTTTTCAAATTTGAATAAATCATTAACACTAAAAATGTATATGATTATGTTATTTCGTACAAAAAAAAAATCAAAGAAAGTCAAAAATTATCGAATTGTAATTTTTTGATAATAATTATTGAATAAATTTGGCTATAATGTTTTGGAATCTATCGAAGACTTAGTATGATTTTCAATATATGAAGATTATTATTCATCTTCATTTCAAATATCAGTGAAAAATAATATGTGCATCAATTGACCTCGATATTTCGACCTAAAATAAAATGTTCTTTTTTTTTACAATATTGCTCTCAAGTATATCGTTTAAAACCAGTGAACTCAATACACAAAACGTTAGACTAAACTTGCTCGAATATTGAAAGAAAAAGTAAAAATAAATTAAGCTTATCAATCCAAATTTTATTTCTACTGAACACAATCAAAATATGTTGAGGCGAAAACAGTATTGATTTCGTAGGGAAATATTCATAGAGTGATGAAAGTTTGAGTGTTTTCTACAGTGCTTAAGACAATCCCTTTTTTATCTAATATTGCCTTGTAGAAAATAATACATATTTAGCCTTACCATTCTTTTCATATGAAGCAAAAATAGCTAGATTAGAACATTCAATGGCGCATTTTTTGAGAAAAAAAAAAAACGATCAACACTTGATTTCATGTAAAATAAAGAATGTTGTAAAACTTATGTATATCTTTTTCTGTATCGCTAATCATTACATTCAATGATGAATAACATTCAGATAAACAAAGTAATGATATTGATGATACTATTATTAATAGTTTATAAAATGGAAATACTAATGGATGATGAAAAATATGATAGTAATTAGCTGCAGCTGTTAAATTTCCTATCATTTATATTTCCATTTGCAGCTGCTATTGCCATATATACTGAATTGATATCATCAACATTAACTAATCTTGTTAAATCAATTCAATATGAACTTGATTGTTGTAACTGAGTTATACATTGTAGAATTTCATTCGCTTCCCGAAGATCATAGTTTGAAACAGAATAACGGTAAAAAAAGAAAGAAGAATTCGTCCTTAAAGTCTAATTTCGAACCGAACGAAATATCTATCACTAGAATTCAAGAAGAAAACTTTTCAACTTCAGAAATTTTCGATAAAATAAATGTTCAGCTTTATCATGATTGTCGAGAATTTCATCAACAATACAGACAGTTGATGAAATGTATTATTTTGCCTTGTAGTAGAACTTCCAATAGGCTACTTGTTTCTGACTTATTCTGATTCAGTGATATATCTAGTTTTTCAAAAGCATATAATTTCCTACTCAGCAAGTAGGAAATTAAAACACAGAGAAAAATATCATAAATATTATTCATAAAAGAAAGGCTTGAATTAGCACAAGATGTTTTTTGATCATATCAATCTGTTTTGCATAATAGAAAAAATTTAGTCATGATAATAAAAACAACATCTGTTTAGAAATACAACGACGAAGTACCCAAAAAACTGTACAGAATAAATGACACGTATAATAACAGGAAAAGATCATTTTCATTTGTCAATCCATTTTCACAAGAGTACGAATATCATTTCCAATTCAATTGTAATATATTTAAACAAGTTCTTCTGTCAGTCAATTTAAAGTCTCGAACACTAAATTAACGTTTAGTTAGAGCATTGATCAATAGAATCAAATCAATTTGTCAAAGTATTCTTCATTAATAAGGCAATATATCAACATTTAATTTTCCGAATCGCAGAATCTTGCCTACCAGACTAACATCTCTGGTTCACAGACATCTGCTATTTATTATTTATTTAAAGATTTATTCGACTGCTATTTGTAGCATAATCTTTTGAATTGGTCACTCTATGGAAAAATCTCACATGTACGAAACATTCAAAACTTCTCAAGAATAGAACTGTTTCTAAGTGTCATAGTGCTTTTGAATCTGAACTAGGTGCATCATGTAAACTCTAATGAGCTATGAATCCCTCGAAAAGAGTTTCGACCAAAAGCTTATTACTGCCGACATACTGTATTTGATTGTATCTAATGCGAAATAAGTACATTGGAATTCGCTGTTATGTATAAACAACATGAAAAACCATGCTTTATCAAAAGAATCTGAAACTTTTACAATAAATTATTCTCAATAAGATGTGTCTCTATGTAAAGTTTCAAGTCGAAATCCGAAACTCAGTTTTTCTAAGAGACACCACGGCAATCTGCTAAAAAATTCAGTGTCTCAGAAACTTCTCGTTACTTTTCTTTAATCTTGAGTTCAAACCATTCTTATTTACGGGTATCCGACAGCTAGCCATGACACAAAAGAAAACGACAAGTATATCAATTTCATATTGTGTTTTGATCTTTCTATTATAGCAAAACGAAATACAATCATGTTATCATTATATTTCAAAAACAAAAGATAAAACAATACAAACTAACATGTCTACGTCTATAATAACTAACAGCTGATCGGTAATGACATCATTCTTTATACGTCATTAGAATTTCCTATTTTCCTCCATAAAAATATTCTATTTATCTTTAATAATTCATTTCTTATCTATATATTAAAAGATTTTAATTATTATTATATATTTCTCATCACAAATTTTAAACATTCGATAGTTAGCGCTATTTACTATTTAAAAAAACAAATGTTTTTTACCCATTGATGTTAAATGCAGACATATAAGAAGTACATCGGAAGAAAAAGAAGAAAAAAAAACCGTTCGATATATAACACTCATTTTTTTTTCTATTTGAAAGCAGATGGTTTTCTAAATGTAAGTTTAGTTTTAAAATATAAGATAACACAATTGAAATTTTACAACAATAATAATTTATTATTATTTGTCAATATATAATTCAAAAATTTAGTTGTTTTCTATTTAAAACTTTTATTATTAGTTTTTTTCTTTCGCTTAATTAAGATAATACAAAAGAATCTGTTTCAAACTAAAGAACACTTATTTTTTTTAGTAATTTTTTTTTTTGGTTCAATATTCAACAACTATTTCGATCATCTGACATTGTTAGCCCCCATAATAATTTTTTGACTTTTTTTTTTCTTTCGTTCTGTTTATTTCTCCCTACTACCCCACATAGAAATCGTCAGCTTCGTCGTCAGTGCATTTTTTTTTTCTTCTTCTTCTATTTATTCTTTTTCTTCACTATTAGAACGTACGTAGAAGGCAAACTTGCGTTCGGCAGTAAATGCTTGTGTGTTGCAACCTCTTTTTCTCTTTTCATCGACATTGTTGTCTTCTATGTCCTCCATATATATATATATATATATTAATAACAACAAAAAAGGAAAAAAACACACAAATGATAAACATAAAGCAAAAAAAATAAAAAGGAAAAACTTTTTTCTTTTCTAGATCTTTTTTTACTTGTGTACAACAAATTCAAAAGAAAAAAAACAAAAAAAGAAACACAAGTTATCCAATTGCATATATCTCCATTATTCTGTATCTTAGCTTTTTCGTAGAATGGCATTAAAACGTATCAATAAAGAATTACTTGAACTTGAAAAAGAGTAAGTTTATAATAAAAAAAAAAATATGAATAAAAATTTTTATATAAATGTTTAAATTCATTTCTTTTTTTTAGCCCACCAGCTAATTGTAGCGCTGGTCCTGTAAATGACGATATGTTTCACTATAAGTATTTTCTTTTGTAAAGGTTCATAGAGTTACGGTTTTTTTTTGTTTTCTTTTTTACGGCAAGCAACTATAATGGGACCAGGTGATAGTCCATTCCAAGGTGGTGTATTTTTTCTTTCAATTCATTTCCCGGCCGATTATCCATTTAAACCACCAAAAATCACGTAAATTCATATTTTCTTTTGTGTATATATGAATAATGATTGTTTTCTTTTTTTAGATTTACAACGAAAATTTTTCATCCAAATATAAATTCAAATGGAGCTATATGTCTTGATATTCTTCGTTCACAATGGTCACCGGCATTAACTATTTCTAAAGTTTTATTATCAATTTGTTCACTACTTTGTGATCCAAATCCTGATGTAAAATAAACAAAAAAAAAAAAGAATT